TCCCCCCACCCCCCTTTCCCCACTCCCCACCCCCCCCCCCATAAAACCCCATCCTCCCGTTGTCCCCCCCCCATCTCTCGGCCTCCCTTCCCGGTGTCCCCCCCCCGTCCTCCTCCATCCCCCCCCCCCGTTTCCTACCTGCTCCGGTCGGCGGCGCCCCCCCCCCATCCCCGCGCCCCCCACCCTCACCAAACGGTGCCGGGGGGAAGCGGCGGGGGGGGTCCCGGTGCCGGTAGCGCTGTAATCGGGTTGGGGCGGCCGGGGGGGGAACGCCGGGCCCCCCGGCCCAGGTAGTCCCGGAGCCACTTGGCCATAACGGGACCGGCACCGGGGGGGGGTGGGGGGGCACCGGGACCCCCCGCAGCCGCCGCCGCCGCCGCCGGGAGCCGCTTTGTGTCGCCGCCGCTGCACGGCGAGGACCGGAGCCCCCCGGCCCCCCCCCCCCCAGCCCCCGCCTCGCCGGTAAAAGGGGGGGGGACACCGGCACCGAGGGGGGGGGCACCGAAACCGGGGGGGGGGCGCCAGAACCGGGAGGAGGGGGTTAAGAGGGGAGGGGAAGGGGGTGTGACCCCGGGGGGGGGGGGGGGGGAGCACTGGGACCCCCCCCGGGGGTGGTGGTCGCAGGGCGCCCCCCCCCCCTGCGCGACGTGGGGGTGAGGGGGGGTTGAGAGCCCCCCCCCCCCGGGCACTGTTTGTGGGTTGGGGGCACAATGGGGGGGGGGGAGGGCACCCGAAGCTGAGGGGATCCCCGCTTTGTGCCCCCCCCCAGCTCTGGGAAGGGTCGGTGGGGCTGTCTCGGTCATGGGGGGGGGACACAAGAGCCCCCAACCCCTCATAGGAGCCTGGGGGGGGGGACACAGGAGCCCCCCTGTGCCACAAGGCCACCCGCAGCCCCCCAGCTCCATCAGCAGGGGCAGGAGGCCGTGCCCCCCCCTCTGCCCCTGGGGGGTTGGGGGGGGGCTCTAAGACTCTATGGGGTGGGGGGGAAGGGTCAGGGCCCCCCCCAGGCTGCCCCCCCCAACTCAGCCCTTCCCAGAACAAAGGTTTCCCTTCCTGGAAGCACGGGGGGGGGCACACACAGGAGCTGGGAGGTGGGGAAGGGGCGGGGGGGGGGGACCGGGGGGGGCTTTGGTGGTCCCACAGAGCCCCCGCCCCCCCCCGCCAGCCCCCATCAAGCAGAGCCCGGGGCTGGAGCCCCAAATCCAGCATTAATATTTGAGGAGGGCTAATTACTGCCTGCGCACGGAATGCTAATTAGCCCCGGCACCACAGCCTGGGGGGGGGCTGCCCCTTCCCCCCCCCTCTCCCAGAACCACCCCACAAAGCCCCAGATCCCAAAAGCACCCCACAAAGCCCCCCCCCCCGCGGCCCACACCAGAGCCCATTTGCCAGGCTCTGAGAGGCGGTTAATTAGCGAAGAGCAGCTCATCAATTAGAGGGGGGGGGGCTAGAGGGGGGGGGGGCCTTGACAAGGAGGAAATTAACACCGGGGGCTTAGCACGAGGGGCAGAGCAGCCCCAGCCCGGCTGGGGGGGGGGCCGACGTGGCTCAGGGTCCCCCCCTTTTTTTTTACACGCGTGCCTTGTGGATAAAGCTGCCCCCCCCCAAGAAGACGAAGGAAGAAGCGGCTCTGACACATCCCATTTATTGCCCCCTCCCACAGCCACCCCCCCACAGCAAGATCTGACCCCCCCCCCCCCGCCGTGGGAGGGGGCAGGAGAAAGTCCGTGCCCAAGAAGGGTGAGTTTTTTTTTGGGGGGGGAGGGGGGGCACAAAGGAGGGTGCTGAGCCTCCCCCTGGGGGGCTGTGGGGCAGGGGGGAGGCCCCGGGGGGGGGTGAGTACATGGGGGGGGGGCAGCAGGGTGGGAAATTCCCCACTCCTGGTGCTCAGAACACGCTGCGGGTGCCGGGTGGGGGCACGGCGTGGCCGGGGGGGGCAGGCAGAGGGTCCCTGCTGGGGGCTGGCTGCGCCCCACGCCAATTTGGGGACCCCAGGTGGGCTGCAAGCCCCCCAGGACCCCCCCCCCCAGGGTCCCCCCATCGTGGTGCAGCTCTGCAGGAGGTGCTGGGGGGGGGCAGCTCCTCAGTCGCTGGCGCCGTCCTCGCTGTCCGAATACGTCCCCAGCAAGCCCAAGGAGGACGACGAGGGGCCCGTGGCCGGGGGAATTGAGCCTGGAAGGCAAAAAGAGAGCAGCAAGGATCAGAGGTGCGCAGAGCCCCCCCCCAGAAGCGGTGCTGGGGGGTGCGGGTGCCCCCGGGGGGGATTTTTGGGCACAGGGAGGGAGGAGAGGAGCCGGCTCCAGGTTGGGAGCTGCCAGCGCGAGGCACAGAGCCCGCGGCAGCTCGGAGCTGGGTCCTGGGAAGCCCCAGGCTGGAGAAAATGAATGAAAAGTGAATGAAAAATGGAGAAAATGAACGAAAAAGGGGCAAACGCAGCCCCCAGACACCCCCTGAGGGCACAGGGGCTGGCTCAGCACAACGCTGAGGAACAAGCAGCCCGGAGCTGATCGCCTCGCCCACTCCTCCCAAAAATCTCCAGCTCCTGGGGCAGGGAGGCAGGACCCCAACTGCTCTCCCCGCTTGTTCCAGGGCTCCAAACCCCGCAGCTGGGGCAGTTTTTGTCATCAGGCCCCAAACCTCAGCGACCTTCCCTTAACTTGGGAGCACTTGGCCTCCAAAAACAGAGTTGGGTTTAACAGCAGAGCTCATTAATAACCGGCTGCTGCCACAACCCCCCCCAGGAGCCAGCCTGACCCCCCCCCCGTGCAGTTACCGGCGCCGTGGCTCTCGGTGCTGTTTGCTGGGGTGCTGGGGGGCTTCGGCTTCCTCACCGCCACCAGCCCGGCCAGCTGCGTCCTGCTGCTCAGCTTCCCCACGCTGCGCTCCCAGCTCTCCGTCTTCTGCTTCTTGATCTGGGGCTGGGGGTCCTGCAGAGAGGAGGAGGGGGTCAGGAGGCACAGGGGGAAGGAGGAATGATAAAAGCAGCGGTGTGAAGGGTGAGGGGCACAAGGAGAGCTGCTTGGAGCAGCCGAGGGGGGTGCTGGATGCAAAATGGGTGCAAAAAGGGCAGGGAGCTCCTGGAGAGAGGAGGCCACAAAGAGGAGCCGGGGCCTGGAGCATCTCCCCTGGGAGGAGAGGCTGAGAGAGCTGGGGCTGGGCAGCCTTGGGAAGAGAAGGCTGAGAGGGGATCTGAGCAGTGTCTGGAAAGAGCTGAGGGGTGGCAGACAGAGGGACATGGCCAACCTCTTCTCAGGGCTCTGTGGGGACAGGACAAGGGGCAGTGGCCACCAAATGGAGCCCAGGCAGTTCCGCACCAACACGCCAAAGAACTTCTTCCCGGGGAGGGTGCCGGAGCGCTGGGACAGGCTGCCCAGGGAGGCTCTGGGGGGGCTCCTTCTCTGCAGATATTCAAGGCCCGTCTGGACGCCTCCCTGGGCAGCCTGCTCTGGGGAATTGCTTGGGCCCGGGGAGCTCTGAGCACCCTGCCAGCCCCTACAGCTCCGTGATCCTCCCCGCAGAGCTGCTGGCACCAGCAGGACACACAAGGACCGCCGACTGGGCCCAGACAGCTGCAGAACGGCCTCAGAGACGAGCCCCCCGCTGCCCGTGGCTGTTAACCCGGCCGTGCACATCCCCAGCCCGACGAGGAGCAGCCAGATGCGAGCCGCGGGGCTGCGTGAGCTCCGCCAGCCGGGCGCTGCTGCCTGCAGGTGGTCCGGGCGCTGAATCCAATCCCCAGGGCCCGCGGATTAGTGCCGGGCCAGGGCACACGGCTGGGATTAACCCCGGCAGGCTCCGAGCTTTGATTCTCCCCAACAGGCGGAGGTCCCCGCGGGCACGGATCGACACCAGAGCAGCACAGGGGGCCTGGCTGCGGGGATAATCCCTCCCCTGCAAGCCGAGCGCTGAAAAAGCCCTTTTGTCCTGACATGGAGAGCAGAGAGGCAAAGCAGAGGCTGACCCCGGTGGTTGTTTCACTCCTGCCAGCCCTCGGGGTCCTGGAATCGTGGCTGAGGTGGGCTCGAGGCACGGGGGAGCCTGAACTTTTAGGGCTGAGAGGGAAGGGAAGCCACATCCCGAGCGAGGACGGGGGCAGCTCGCTGCCAGCTGGGAGCGTCCCCTTTGTCAGCAGGCAGCCTGAAATCCCCAGCTGAGCCCTGCCTCCACCCAGCACGGCTCGTTTTGAGCTGCTCACGTGTAGCAGACAGCAGGGCCGGCAGCTTTGGGCAGGGGGAGGAGGCTCTGCCTCCCCGCTCACCTCCTGCAGGATGTCCGTGGGTTTCGTTTTTGCCCTGGGCTTCGTGGAGGGCTTTGCAGCTTCTTCGTCCGAGTCCGAGTCGACCAGCAGGCGCCGGTTCTGCACCTCCTCCAGCATGGCTCTGAGAGCAGAGAGAGCTCAGGAGCTGCCTCCTCACGCGTTCTATTGATTGTTTTTTTTTTTAGAAGTCACCTCGGAGCGGTGCCCAAGGCTTGGAAGCACCACGACCCGCAGCCTGAGCCAGGCACAGAGCCTCTCCCCTCACACAAGGACTGTTCTCAGAGGGGGTGAGGTCCTGGCAGCAGCCCAGACCCCCCCACCAGATCCACCAACGATGCCAAATCCCCCTCACCCTCACCACCTGCAGCTCTCCCCCTCCCCAAGCACCTTCCCAGGCCAAATCAGCTCCCATCTCCTCACAGCCTGCTCTGGAATGTGCCCCCCCCACCCCCAGCTCCTACAACCCCCTCGTTTCAGGGCCACGGGGGTGTCATTGCCCGCCCGGGGGAGCGCCTCCAGCCCCACTCACTTCATCTCCTGCTCATCCTCCTCTTGCTCCCTGCGCTTCTGCTCCTCCTCGTACTCCTTGTACTGCCGCAGCATGGCCTCGAAGTCCACGTTGGCCTGGCGCTGGTTGAGCTCCTTCAGCTCCTGCAGGTTCTCCAGGACCTCCATCTCCAGCTTGGAGTCCTTGGTTCGGTTCTCCAGGACCTGGGGGGGCCGGGAGGGAGCCGGGCTCAGACGAGGTACCAGGAACACGGCCCCCCCCGCCCGCTCCCAGCACCAAAAAGCTCATCCTCATTTCCAAGCCTTGGGCACGGTAGGAAAAAACGGGGCAGGTCACAGCCCCTCACGAGTTTGAGCCCAGGAGAAAAGCTCCTGAGGGCAGAGGTGGCTCCAGCCAGCCCCAGGGGCTGCCAAAAGTCACCCCCTGCTCGGCAGGACAGAGGCAGGCAGGACGAGAGAGGAGTGAGTGCCCTCTGCAGGGAAGGGCCCGGCCCGGCACCTTCATGGGATTGTTCAGCTCTTCCTCTTCCCTCTCCTTCTGCATCCTCTTCTCCTCTTCCTCCAGGAGTTTCTCCGCCTGGAAGTTGCGCGTGGCGCCGTGCTCCATGGTGTAGTCGGTGTTCTCGGGGTCTGTCTAAGGAAGAGGCAAGGCAGCAAAATCATCAGATGGGGGCAATTCCACGGCCGCTTCCAGAGCTGTGGGCAAACGTTTCCCAATTTCATCCCCCCCCCGAGGGCAGACAACCAGCCCCAGCCCCTCGCTGTGCTCCAGACTGACACAGAGGGGAGAGAGCAACAGCACGCGCTCAGATTTGGCCTCTGTGGGATTTGGCAGCCCTTTCCCCACAGGATACGGGCAGACCCCGTGCCCCCAGCGCTTGCTCGAGCCCCCAGCACACTTCACCTTGAAGGTGATCTCTGCCAGGCAGCGCGTGCACTTGATGTAGAAGCGGAAGATGGGCAGCCCCAGGTACACCTCGTTCTGGACGGTCTCCTTGCGGGCGTTGAACTTCTTCCCCTTGTAGATGTACTCACCGCACGTCTTGCACCTAAAAAAAAAGAGAAAGAAGTCCACAACCATCATTAGGAGAGGAAAAAAAAGACAAAGAACAGCCCGAGTGCCTGCCAGCCCACATTCTGAGCAAGTTTTCTGCTCTGGAAACTCAGAGCAAGCCCCGAATCCCCCCCAGCATCTCTCCCCGCAGCGCGGGGCAGGATTCCCCGTGCCATTTCCCCCCCTCTCGCCCCCCGGTTGTCCCCAAGGCCCGGCCCCTCTCACCGCATGTTGAAGGGAGCCATGAGGCGCACCACATACTGCCGGTCCTTCGGGAGCTTGAGCTTTGGGATCTTAGCAGGGTCGAAATCGGGCGGGTAGTATTTCTGCGGGGACAGAGGCGAGATGGTCGCGTGCCGGGCACCCCACGGGGCTCAGAGCAGGTCAGGCACAGCACAGATGTCTGTCTGTCCGTCTGTCTGTCTGATTCCGAGCCCGCTCTCCTCACCCCCAACCCTTTGGGGATTTGGGGGCCTCCTGCCCTAAGCAGCCCCCCCCAGTATGGCCAGGACCCCCGCCCCACCTGCCTGGGACTCCCCACACACACCAGAGGCCAGCTGCTGACCCCACAAGGAAGCCCCCAAGCCCCCCCCGAGGACCCTCCCTCAGCCCCTAACCCCCCACCCTTAACCCCCTGCCCTCAGTTCTTAAGCCCCCCCATCAGCCCCCAGGCCCCCTCCTCAGCCCCTAAGCCCTCCTCTAAGCCCCCCTCAGCCCCTAAGCCCCCCCCCAAGGCCTCCCCTCAGCCCCTAACCCCCCCCCAAGGTCCCCCCCAGCCCCTAAGCCCCCCCCCAAGGCCTCCCCTCAGCCCCTAACCCCCCCCCAAGGTCCCCCCCAGCCCCTAAGCCCCCCTAAAGCCATCCCATAGCCCCTAACCCCCCACCCACGGCCCACTCCTCAGTCCTTAAACCCCCGTAGAGCCCCCCCACGAGCCCCTAAACCCTTCTGAGCCCCCCGCCAGCCTCCCTATGACCCTTAACCTCCCCCTAAGCCCCCCCCATTCCCTAAGTCCCCCCTAAGCGCCCACCCTCAGCCCTTAAACCCCCCCCTAATGCCCTCAACTCAGTCCCTAAGCCCCCCCCCCAGCCCCAAATTCCCCCCCCCATGGCCCCTAAACCCCCCAGGCCTCCCCTAAGCCCCCCCCCGACCCCTCAGACCCCCTCCCCTGCCCCTCCCCCCCCCAGCACAGGGCGCCCCCCACCCTTGGGAGCCCCATTCCCCCCCCCCCAGCCCCAGGAGCGACCGGGGACACCCCGGAGGCCCTGGGGACCCCCTCCCCAACCCCCCCTCGGACCCCCCCTCCTCACGTTCAAGACTTTCCGTTCCGACATGGCTGCGCTGCGCCCCCGGCCCCCCCCTCGCCCACCGACAGCCGCCGCCGCGCCCGCAGCCGCTTCCTGGAAACAGCGCCCGCCCCCTCCCGCCGCTCATTGGCTCCGCCTCAGAGCTCCGCGTCTGCCATTGGTCGGTTCTGCTGCCCGTCAGCGGGATGAAGCCTCGCGTGCAACCGCCTAAAGGGGCCGCCCGGCGCAGCGGCTCGGACACAAAGGTTCCGGGGGGGAAATGGACCCGCGGTGGGGAAGGGCGAGGGGGGTGGGGTAAAGGGGGGGGAGGGGACGGGACCCTCGGTCCTGCCCTGCTCGGGCCTCACCTGGAGCTCGGGGGGCGGCACAACAAGGCCAGGGAGCTCCTGGAGAGAGCCCAGCGGAGGCCACAAAGAGGAGCCGGGGCCTGGAGCATCTCCCCTGGGAGGAGAGGCTGAGAGAGCTGGGGCTGGGCAGCCTTGGGAAGAGAAGGCTGAGAGGGGATCTGAGCAGTGTCTGGAAAGAGCTGAGGGGTGGCAGACAGAGGGACATGGCCAACCTCTTCTCAGGGCTCTGTGGGGACAGGACAAGGGCTGTCTGACAGCGCCCGCCGTGTACCTGCTGCCCTGGACCCTGCACAAGGACTGTGAGCGCAGCCAGGAGTGCCAGAAGGAAAGCAATCTCTTTATTAACTCACACATTTAACTCCCTCCCAGGAGGGGAGGCTGCTGCAGGGCTTGGCCCCTTCTTTTGGGGCACCCCGGGTCAGGCCCGGAGCAGCTTTCGTGTGTCCATCCTGCGGGCAGTGTTCAGCTCCTGTGGCACAGGAAGCAAAAAAAAAAAATAAGGAAAAGGGAGCAGGACACAAGCAGAGATGGAAAAGGGCAGAGCCGGGTGGACAGGGAAATAGCAGGAAATCAAAGGGGAGGCAGCAGGACAGGGAGAGAAAGAGAGGGAGGAGGAGAGAGACAGCGAAAGAAAGGGGAAGGGGAAAGGGACAATAAGGACAGGGAGCAGGGCGTGAAACAGGGACAGATGGGGGCAGGGAGCAGGACACCAGCAGGCCAGGCTTCAGCACCTTCACGGGATTGTTCAGCTCTTCCTCTTCCCTCCCCTTCTGCATCCTCTTCTCCTCTTCCTCCAAGAGCTTCTCAGCTCGGAAGCCGCGGGGTGTCCCTGCTCCGTGGCCGCGTTCTCAGGACCTAAGGGAAAAGCCAGGCAGCAAAGGCACCGTAACGGGGCAATTCCGCTCCCGACATCCCGGGGGCTGTTCGCTTGTGGCCGCTTCCAGAGCTGTGGGCAAACATTTCCCGATTTCATCCCCCCCCCCGAGGGCAGACAACCAGCCCCAGCCCCTCGTTGTGCTCCAGACTGACACAGAGGGGAGAGAACAACAGCACGCGCTCAGATTCGGCTTCTGTGGGATTTGGCAGCCCTTTCCCCACGAGGTACGGGCAGACCCCGTGCCCCCAGACCGTGCGGCCTCCCCAGAAAGCCCGCAGCACACTTCACCTTGAAAGTGATCTCCGGCAGGCACCGCGTGCGTTTGACGTAGAAGAGGAATGCGGGAAGTCCCGAGTACACCTCATTCTGAACGGTCTCCTCACGGGCCTGAAGCTTCTTCCCCTTCGAGATGCGCTCAGCGCACGTCCCGCGCCTAAAAAAAGAGAAAGAGAAGTCCACAACGCATCATGAGCGGAGAACAAAAAGACCGAGAAAAGTCCAAGCGATTTTCAGGCTGTGTCAACCCCGATTCTGAGCAATGGTTATTTTCTCCTTTGGAAATTTAGCGCCTACCCTTCAAACAGCCCCAAACTCACCCAGGGCCTCTCTTCCCCTCGTCCCCTTCCTCCCGGGCTGCGTCACCGCCCAGCAGCGGCTCCTCTGCGGCGAGGGGAGGAGAAACGACCCCCGTGCGCGCCGCTCTCCTTGCTGGCTGCTTCCTCCTCCCTGCGTGCGGGTCCTGCGGGGCTGTGAGCCGGGGGCCGTTTAGGACGAAGCCCCCCGGGCGGCATCGTACAGGGACGGAGCAGCGACCTGCACCCAACCACAGCAACGTCAATGTCCGTCTGTCCGTCCGTTCGCTCTGCTGGCCCCAAACGCCCTGGCCTGGTGCTCCCCGCACCCCCCAGCCCCCAAACGAGCCCCCCCCGGAACCCCCCAGCCCCCCAAAAGCCCCCATTGACCCCCCCTGACCCTGCTGGGACCCTCCCCGAGACCCCCAAACAGCTCTGAGACCCCCCGGACCCCACCAGGACCCTCCCTAGGACCCCCTCCCAGGACTCCCAAATCCCCCCGAGACCCCTGGGACCCCCAAAAGCCCCCAAGGCCCCCCCAAACCCTCATGGGACCCTTCCCAGGAACCCCTCTGGAACCCCAAATCCCCCCAAAACCACCACGACCCCCCCCGGGACCCCCCCCCAGGAACCCCCCGGGACCTCCCCGACACCTCTGGGACCCCCAAATCCCCCTGAGACCCCCCCTGGGACCCCCCCCCCAAACCCCCGGGACCCCTCCAGGACCCCCAAATCCCACCGGGACCCCCCCCCAGATCCTCCCGGGACCCCCGGCCCCACCTCAGGCCCCCTCGGCCCCCCCCAGGCTCCGCTCCCACCCCCTCCGCACCCGGTGCGCCGCCTCACTCGGCCCCCCATCGCCTCCTGCGACTTCCGGGATGAAAGCCCCGCCCCCCTCCTCGCCGCTCATTGGTTGCCGCGGCGAGCGCTCGCTTCTTATAGGCTGTCCCCGCTGCCTATCAGCGCGCCCCGCCCACCCCGCCTCACGGGCCGTGTGCACCCACCAATAGCTCCCCCCCGGCACCCGCGGCCCGGAGCGAAGGTTCCGGGGCTGGAACGGGCCGGGCCCGGGGGGTGGCACCGCAGGGGGGGGCGCTGGGGGCGGGGGGGGCGGCCTGGGGCCGTCTGGGGCCCGGTTCAAGCCATGGAGAGAGGCCATGGGGGCCCTCCGAGTCCTGGGGGGGCGCATACAGGTCCTGGAGGGTTGTACGGACCAGTCTGGACTATAGGGACCAGGCTCTGGGGGGGCTGGGGACCAGTCCAGGCCCTCCACTGGGACCAGTCCGGGATCTGGGGGCCCTGGGAACCCATCCAGACACCCCACAGGGACCAGTCTGGGCTCTACGGGGGGGCTGGGGACTGGTCTGGGCCCTCCACTGGGACCAGTCCGGGATCTGGGGTCTCTGGAGACCCATCCAGACCCTCCACAGGGACCAGTCTGGGCTCTGGGGGGGGATCTGGGGACCAGTCCAGGCCTTCCACTGGGACCAGTCCAGGCTCTGAGGTCCCACCCAGACCCACCCCGGGGCCCATTCCCTGCTGTAGGAGCTCCTTGGAGCCCCCCAGCCCCGGCAGCTGCCCCCCTTTCCCCGTGCGGTGCCAGCCCAGCCCAGCCCCCCGCAGCCTTTGCCCCCCGCAGCCGGCACGAGGCCCAGCAAAGAACATCCCGGGGCCGATCCCGGAGCCTCGCAGTGTTTTATTGCCTCTTCACAGCCACCAAGGGGGCCGCTCGTGGCTGCTGGGGGGCACGGGGATAGAGCAAAGGGGGCGCGTGGGGTCCCCGAGGAGGAGTGGGGGGGGCCCTGACCCCGCTCTGCCCCTCACGGCTCCGTCCAGGGCGTCCCGGAGGCCGGCAGGCTCCAGGCGCTGAATTCCCCGTAGTCCGTGAAGTCCTTGGCAGCCACCTGGATGTGGTGCAGGGCGCCGGGCCGCAGCCCCGTCAGGGTGTAGGAGGTCTGCTCGTAGGGCCCGATCTGGAAGCAGAGCAGATTTAGGGGGCCGGGGAGGGATGGGGTGGGGTGGGGAGGGGGGCAGCAGGGGACGCAGCCATCTCAGGGCTTTGCTGTGTTTTTTTGGGGTACCGTTCTGGTGACCAAGTCCTCGTCCCGCACGTAGCGGATGCGGTACTTGAGTGGGAAATACTCTGGGAAGGGCCACGACCCCGGCGGGCTCCACTCCAGCAGCAATTTCTTGGGCTCCCCGGGGACGGGTGACACCCGCAGGTCCTCGGGGGGGTCCGGCTTTACTGAGGACGTGGGGAGACAGCAAACGGGTGAGATGCAGGCTAGGGGGGGGGACAGGGGACCAGCGTGGGGACAATGGGGTCGGGGACAGCGCATCCACCAGCCCAGAGAGCCGCTGAGCCCCAGCAACATATTGCACGGCTGTTTCTGCATCAATTCAGGGGAAAAGCCCCAAAAACGAGGCTGAAGCAACCCCCGGGGCTGGCTCAGCCCCTGTGGTGCCGCTCGGGCAGCGGGGTCAAGCACCGGGGGGGGGGGTCTGCAGGGGGGGCTGATTTTTTGGGGTGGGCACTCACTGATGTTCTCCAGCAGGAAGGGCAGGAGGCTCGAGGCCGTGCCCAGCGCGTTGGTGGCCGTCACGTTGAGCACGTAGGGGGTGAGGGAGAACATCTGCAGGTCCCCGAAGGAGCAGCTCCGCGGCCCCGTGCGGGCGCACTCGTGGCTCCCCGCGGCCCCCCACACGCCGTGCCTGGGGATTTGGGGGGGGTGTGAAGGGGGCAGCTGGGCGAGGGGCTCCTGCCCTGCCCTGTAGCCCCCCCAATGTGGCTCCGGTGTGGGTTTGGGGGGCTCAGGGCTCACCTGTAGGTGGCCACGAATTCGGTGTCCAGCAGCGGCTCGGGGACAAGCAGCCAGGAGCAGGTGACAGCCTGCGGGTAGCTGACGGCCCAGCACTCCGCAACGGGCAGCGGGGGGGGATCTGGGGCAGGGAGGGGGGCGGGCAGCCGGCGGTCACCCCCCTGCCGGCCTCTGGTCTCTCTCCCCCTCTTTAGGGTGGGGGTCCCCGTGGGGTTGGGGGGTCACTCACAGCCCAGCCGCAGGCAGATCCTGGCCCAGGTCTCCCCGGTGTCGGGGTGGTGGCAGCTGTAGGGTCCCTCGTGGGCCAGGCTGGCGTTGGGGAGGGCCAGCCCCGGGGCAGGATACGTCCCTAGGGTTGCCCCCCCCCGGCGCCACTCGGCGGGTCTCCCCCCGGCAGCCGGGCACCGCAGCAGCACCTCCGTGCCCAGGACGCCATGCTGCAGGGCACAGGGGCCTGGGGGACACAGCGGTGGGCATGGGTTGCGCCCCTTGTCACCTCCCCACCCCACCCCAAAAAAAAATCCCAAGCCACCCGCCGTGCTCCCCAGCTGGGGCAGGGGACGGTCAGGGGGCTGTGGTCCCCCAGCTCTGTCCCCAGCACCCTCCAACCCCTCTCAGTGCCCCCTTGGCACCCCAATCCCCCCCCCGTGTCCCCATCCCCCTGTCCCTGGTTGCCCCATAAATCTGCCCGTGGTCCCCTCCACGCCTCCACCCCGCTCGGTGCCCCTATACCCCCCCCCCACTGCTCCCAGTCTGCCCAGTCCCGCTGCCCCCACTCCCCCCGGATCCCCCCATACTTCCACCCCCCGTCCCCCACACCCCCACGCCGCCGTCCCCGTTGTCCCCATCCCCTCGTACCTCCATCCCCGGTGTCCCCGGCCGTGTAGGGCGCAGCGCAGGCGGGTGCCACAAAAGCCACCACCCAAAACCACTTCATTTTGGGGCGCCGCCGCGATGGGACCTGTGGGGGCAGCAGGACGGTGACCCCCCGGCAGGCGACAGCGGGGACAAACGGGGTCTGGGACGTCCCTGGCACCCTCCCCAGGGGCAGCATCCCACAGCGGGGGGCCCTAACCACGCTATATGGCCGTGCCTCAGTTTCCCCTCCGGCCTCACCGCACTTCTGGGGGCCGGGGGCAGTTTTCTGGCCGCAGCGGCCGGATCCTGCTGCCAGGAAGGAGGAGGGAACGGAGGCGGGAGCGAAAGCGCCCGGTGTGACCGGGGTTTCCCACGGGGCCCCGCAGCCACCCCTGCGGTCCCGTACCCGGAATCGAGGTTTCGGGTTGGGTTTGGACGGCCGCAGCTTCCCGGGACGCCCGGGCAGGGACTGTCCCCCAGAGAAACCCCAAATCCCTTCCCCGGGGGGGGGTTGGGGAGCAGCACCGGGCTCCACACCTCGACCACACACACCCACAGCACGGCACGCTGCCCCCCGTGCCCCCAAGCCCCACGGGGACCCTCCCGGACCCTTTACTCACCGCAGCAGGGCCGGAGGCTCCGTCAGCGCTGCGGGGAAGCCGCGGCCCCGGGCGGCCTCATCCCGCTTCCTCGCGCAGGAAACGCTGCTCCCGGGGGGTTTTGGGGGCCAGGAGAGCCCCGCAGGGATCCCTGCGTGCCCCCCAGACCCGCAGCAGTTTTTATTTCCACCCCCAGCCACGAGGATTTCGACCTTTCCCACCCCGCTCCTTCCTTTGGGTGACCCGTTCCCATTTTGGGGTGCTCACGGCATCGAGTCCCCGGTGTCCCCGGCTCCGCCGATGTCCCCCACATCCCACAGCCCCCGCGTCTCTGTGCCCATCCTCACCCCCCCCGGGACGAGCCGTGATGTTAAGGTGGATAGAAACACTTTATTGCTACTGTGCTGGGGTGCGTGGGGGCTAGCACGGGGCCCCCCCGGGGCCGGGTGAGCATCGGGGTGCGTGTGCCAGCAGCGGGGTGCTGCCGGAGAAGCAAAAGGGCCATGGGGGGTGCGAGCAGGGGCCTGTCCCCCCCCCCCGGCTGTGTCGCTGGTTGTCCCACGGGGTTTTTCGGTGAGGGCTCATCTGCCCTGCTCCTGCAGCCGCTGCATCTTCAGGATCTGGCACAGGAGCCTCTGCACGTCCTCATCCATGTGGCCCTGGGACAGAGAAAGGGACCTCGGGGTCCTGTCACCGCGTCCCCGAGCCCCCCCCACCCCCCGCAGCCCTGTCCCCTGTCCCCTTTTGCCCACCTGCACGGCGTAGAGCAGGTGGCTCCGGTACAGCGCGACCACCTTGCCGTGCCGCAGCTCTGCCTCCTGCGGGAGAGGAGTGGGCGTGAGTGGGGGGCCGGGGCCACGAGGAGCCCCCCCAGCAGTGCCCACCCCGTGCCCTGCGCCCACCGCCAGCTTCTCCTCCAGCGCGCGGATCCGGGACTGCATGGCCGCGGTGTCGGGGGGAGGCTGCGGCGCTCCTCGGGGCTCGGGGAGGGCGTTGAGGGCCTCCTTCAGCCTGAAAACCTCCTTGGAGAGCTCGGTGATCTGGGCAGCACGCGGGGGTGAGGGGTTGGCAGGGGTCTCCCAGCCCCATCTCCCCCCCGGGGTCCCCCCGTGGCCGTGCCTGCTGCCACCCCCGAGTGTCCCCCGCTGGGGCAGGGGCAGAGCCGGGGCTTTCCCAGCTCCCTCCCGCTTCTGGCCCCGGTTTCAGTCTCGGCTTCGGGAGGGGAAAAGGGGAAGAGGCAGGAGGGCAGCGAGCGTGCCCCCAGCGGCGCACGTCGGCGCGTTTGCACGTGCGAGTGTCTGTGCGCATCAACGGGGCCACGTGGGCCAGCCACTGAGCTCGGAGCACTGCTCCCACCCCCAGGAGACCCCCACAAACCCCCCAACCCCCTCCCCATCCCCATCCCCATCCCCGTCCCCTACCTTCCTGTCCCTGTCCCTGACCAGCCGGGCCGAGTCCTCGGCGTGGCTGTGGAGGTCCCGCAGGCGCCGCGCCTCCTCCCGCGCCTCCGCCAGCTGCTGCTGCGCGGCCTCCAGGCGCTCCTCGGCCGCCTGCCGCTCGCTCTTCATGAACAGCGCCTGCCGCTGCACCCGGAAAACCTCCTCGCACGTCTTCTCGTGCCGCCTCGTCAGCTCGGCCAGCCGCTGGGCTAGCGCGGCCGCCTCGGCTTGCAGCTCTGCCCGCGCCGCCTCGTGCTCCCCGCGCGGCACCGCCGCCGCCAGCGCCGCCTCCAGCCTGGCCGCCTCGCGCCCCTTGGCCTCCGCCGCCGCCTCCAGCCGTGCCGCCCGCTCCCGCAGGGCTCGCGCCTGCTCCTCCAGCGCCGCCGTGGCCCGGGCGTGCTCCTCCGCTGCCACCCGGCCCTCGGCTTCCTCCTGCGCCCGCCGCAGCCTCGCCAGCACCTCCTCGTGCTCCCTGCGCCCCACGGGCCGGGCGGCCAGCTGCTCGCGCAGGGCGGTCAGCTCGGCCTCGCGGCGGCCCAGCGCCTCCCGCAGCTGCCCCAGTTGCGCCGTCACCTCCCCGTGCTGCCGCACCAGCTCTGCCACCCGTCGCTCCAGCGCGCCCGGCTCCGGCTCGGGGCCGCCGGCCGCCCTCCAGTCCCGCGTCTTGGCCTCCAGCTCGCGCCGCAGAGCCTCGGCCGCCGCCTCCGCCCGGCTGCAGCGCTCCAGCAGGGCCGCCTTCTCCTGCGATGCCTCCTCCAGGGAGGCCCCCAGCGAGGCCGTGGCCTCCTCAGCTTTGGCATCGGCCTCCAGGCGGGCCTGCAGCTCCCGCAGCCGCTGCTCGCGCTCCTCCAGCGCCGCCTGCGCCTGCTGCAGGGCCGCCCGGGCCTCCGCCAGCTCGGCACCATCCTGCTGGGGAGGCGCCGGCGCCGCCTTGCACGTGCACTGGGGCGGCTCCTCGCTGAGCCCCTGCACCGTGCTGCCCTTGCTGCCGGCCTCTGAGGCTGGGGTTGACCTCTCCTGCTCTGCCTCCTGTGCGCCCTGCGCCCGCAGCCGCTCCAGCTCCCGTTTGAGGGAGTAGTAGAGGCTGGCGGGCACCACGTCCCCCGGGGTGGACGGCTCGCTCTCATCCCGCTCGAAGTTCTCCAGGACCTGCCAAGGGGATGGTGAGGCCGGCAGCAGCCGGGAGACCGAGGGAAGGAGGGCGGGGTGGGCAGGCGGCCGGGTTCTTGCCTGGATTTTCTCCCTCAGCTCCTTGTTCTGCACGGTGAGGGACTGCACCTGGCCCTGCAGCGTGGCCAGCAGCTCCTCGGCCGAGGGGCTCAGGGTCTTCTTGGAGAGCAGCAGCTCTGCCCCTGCGCGGCACGGAGGTGCTGGTGCCGTGCCCACCGCGTCCCCGCTCCTCCCCGCACGGGGCCACCACCCCGAGGGGGGGTCTCGGGAGGCCAGCAGGGTCCTACCTGGGAACTCGAGCAGCTCTCCCTCCTCGTCCTGCAGCGTCTCGATGTCGTAGCTCGTGTTCTCCTTCTCGTTCTGGGGGTGTGGAGCAGGGGGGTGTCGGCTGCTGCCCACCCTGCCCTAGCCCCCCGGCGCTGCCCGTGCCTACCTCCAGCGAGGACAAGCGGCTCTGCAGAGCCTCCACCTCCTTGCCCAGCCGCTCCTTCTCGCCGTCCCGCGCCGCCAGCCGCTCCTGCAGCTCCTGGATCTGCGGGGCAGGACTCCCTTCGCTCCCACCAGAGTCCTAACGGCACCAGGACCCCGCACGTGAGGCTGCCCACGACCTCCTTGCTGGCCTCACCTGCTTCTCCATGGAGCGAAGGGAGCCCTTGTCCTGCTCTGCCTGCTAGCGGGACACGGAGAGACGATGGGGGGGGGTTAAATGCTGCTCCCACCCCCCTGCCCCTCTGTTTCCCGGCGGTGTGGTCGCAGCTACCTCCTGCCTCTGCTTCTCCTGCTGCTCCAAGCCCCGGATCTTCTGCAGGAACTGCGCCCGCTCCTGCCGCAGCCTCACGATCTCCTCGTAGGCGTCCCGGTCTTCCTGCGGGCCAGCGGCAGCCGAGCCTCAGGGCATGACGGTGCCGGCCCCTTCCCTGTCACCATCTCCCCCCCGTTTTGTCCCCAACGTGGCCCCGCTCCTGCCCATCCTCACCCCCCCCGGGTCTGAGGCCACCTGGAGTCGGTGGCAGCTCCCCAGGTGCCACCTCTGGGCTGTGCAGGGTGCTCCTTGTCACCAGGGGGGGAAGGAAAGGCTCCGGCAGGGCACGGGGACTCCCTCGAGGCCACCACGGCCCCCCCAGAACACTGCTCAGGGGTGTTTTGGGCCCCCGGAGAGCTGGTGGCCCCCGCACAGCCCCCAGGGAGGGCAAAACCAGGGGGGTTCCCCTGCATGGGCCCCAGTTGAGGTGCCCGGTGCCCGCCGTGCTGGCTGTGAGCACGGAGCTCAGCCCTGCCCAGAGGGACCCGGTCTCTTACCGGGCTGGGGGTGCCCGGGGGAGGCAGGGGGGCCTTCCTCTTCCTCGGGGTGCTGCTCTTCTCTCTGCCCACCGACTGGCTTGGCGAAGACGTCTGCGGAGAAACCGTGGCGGAGGGGATGTCACACCCACGGTGGCCTCCCTACTTTCTGACCCACTGCCGTGTCGGAGAGCCCCGGGCCCCCTGGGGACCCCCGCCAGGAGCTGAGGGCTGGGGCCAGCCCTGCTGGAGGGGGGGCAGCCCGGCGGGTCCTTACCCGCGACGTCTGCTCGGTGGTCTCCTCTTCCGCGGGGCAGAGCAAGAGGAAAGGGAAATGAGGGAGGTTTGGGGAGTGCGTAGCCACGGGTACATGCGAGAACACGCCTGCATGCACGGGGCACACGCAGACAGATGTTGCACACACAGGGACGTGCAGGGTGTGCACACGTGTGCACAGGGGACTCGTGCCCACAGGTATGCACATGGAGAGGCCGGGAGAAGCACACTCGCTGTACACACGTGCACCTCCACGCCCTCGCACACGTGTGAACACGCATGCACAAGCACATGCAGACACCGAGGCAGACAACGGAGGCTCAGCACCACCCCCCAGCCTTCCAAAAACCACCCCCGGCGCATGGCCAAAAGGGGACGTGCCCCCCACCCGAGAGGAGAGGGGGGAAAACCCCATCCATGGGCCCACCCTCTGTGCACGTGGAGCACCGCGAGGGTCTTACCGCTGGCCCAGGACCGGCGCTGAGCAGCCTCTTGCAGGAAATGCTGGATGAGAGCGTTGCCCGTGGCCAGCCCGTAGTGCGCCGCATCGTGCCCCGCAGAATCCACCACCGCCACCCGCGCCCCGGCGTTGACCAGCACCTCCACCGTCTCCACGCTGCCGTTCTCGCAGGCCAGCATCAGGGCCGTCCTGAGCGGGTGGGGGGAGAGGTGAGGGGCCCAGCTCCTCTTTTTTTTCCCCCCCCTCCCAGCACAGACTCACTTGCCCTGCAGGTCGCGGCTGTTGGCGGCCGCCCCGCGGTGCAGCAGGTAGCGGCACAGCTCCGAGTGGCTCATCTTGGCGGCGAGCAGCAGCGGTGTGGAGCCCTCCTGGGCAGGGCATGCTTGGGTGAGGGGGGCTGCGGGGACAATGCCTGCACCCCCCCCCAGTGTGGGGCATCCCCCTGCTGTTATCTCCTTGATTTCTGCCCCCCATGCGCGTGCGCGGCACGCAGCTCTCCCCTGGGGACCCCAGGTGCTGCAACCCCGGGGGGGGCAACCCCAGCCTGGAGTTTTGCTGCTCTGAAAAGCCTCACGGGGGGGGAGGAACAAGGCGGTCTCACCTTGTCCTTGATGTTCAAAGGAGCCTTGAAGTCGCAGAGGATCTCTGAGCAGGAGATGCAGCCGCTGACCGCTGCGGGAGAAGGATGGGGGCTGAGCGCCGCCCTGCGTGGGGCCGTGAGCAGCACGGGACTGGCACCGTCCCCGCTCACCTGCGTGGTGCAGCGCCGTCCTGCCGCTGCTGTCAGCCACGTCCACGGGGCAGGAGGCCTGAGGGAGAGAGCCTGGATCATGGCAGGGGCCGGGACAGACAAACGGGCTGCCCACAGGACCGCGGCTCCTCGGCGAGGTGGGAGGGCTGAGCAGGATTGCTCCGAACCGCACGGTGCCAGGCAGAGCTGGGAACCTCCAGGCTGCCCAAAACCACCCCGGAGGGTTTGGGGGTGGAGAGGGCACCTCGATGGGGCTGCTGAGCGTGGCACCTCCCCGCCTCCCTGCCCCTGGTACCTGCAGCAGCTTGCTGACGCACTGCGGGTGGCCGTGCTTGGACGCCAGGTGCAGGGCGGTGTAACCTGGGGACAGGGGGACAAGGGGACAGGGGGACGGGTCAGGAGACAGACACGGGGTTGGGGGCAGAGAGGGGGGACAGACGGACAGGCACGCAGGAAGACCACGGGGCTGGGGCTGAACAGGAACAAAATGTCCCCGACAGCACCCACAGGCACCGCTGGAGTCCCCAGAGAGAGGTGGGACAGTTTGCACCCCGCGTGGCCGCCCCCTCCATCCCCTCCGTCCCCTCAGCCCCAGCACCATGCAGAAGGGGCAGAAGGAGCAGAGGGCCCTGAGGGGGTGCCGGGGGTGCGTGGTGGCTGCGCCCTCACCCGAGCTGTCCTTGGTCATGGCATCCACGCCGTGGGCCAGCATAGCTTCCAGGCAGTCCACGTTCCCCCGCATGGCAGCCAGGTGGAACCTGCAGCCGGCCACGGGGCTGTCAGACCCAAATCGAACCCAAATCGCCCCAAATCCCTGCTCCCAGCCCTTGGTGCCCCGGTGCCTTACGCGGATTTGCCCTCCGAGTCCAGCTTGGTGGGGACCAGGCCCTTGCGGACGAGCAGAGACGTCACCCTCCCGGCATCGTTGTAGTCCACGGCTTGCAGGAGCTTCTCGTCGTTCTTGGTCCAGTCCTGGCTCTGCAATGAAGCCCCCGTTGGGCTCTGGCTGGGCCAGGATTTGGGAAGGAAACCGTGCTTCCTGAGTGCCCCCACCCCGGGGTGTTCTCCTGCCACCCCCATGACCCCGACACCAACCACAGCCAGCACCCATGGGTGCCTGAGCCCCATCCTTGCCCGGCTCTCCCCGCTGGGCTCGAAGCCCAGGTCCCCCGGGATGGCTCCTGCTGCCCCTGCTCCCGAGCAGAACTGGGGCTGGGTGGGGGCTCGTTGCCCCCCCCAGACCCAGAGGAGAGCCCACAGCGGGGCAGGAGCAGTGTGGGATGCCCCGGGCTCGCCCCGCAGCCCGTGACGACAGCCCAGGGCTCGGCTGCAGCAGGGGAGGAAGGAAATGGGGGATGGATGTCACCCCCGATGTCACCCCCGGGAGCCGCTTGCGTCCTGCCCCTGGAGGGACCCTGTGCCACCGCGAGCCCCCTCACCCTGTGCGGCCAGGGGACCCTGTGGGGTGCGGGATAAAGCCGCCTCCTGGCGTTACTGGGCAAACTGGGAGCGCGGCGCCCTCCCCTTTGTCGTGCAAGGACAAAGCGGCTCGGAGAGGGCACAGCGGGGCCGCAGGGATGGGGATGGGGACGGCTGGGGTCCAGCTGGGGGTGTGTGTGTTTGGGGGGGGGGGGAAACGTGTCTTACCCCAAAGCACGGGCCCGAAGGGGAGCGGGGACGGAGGGCAGGGACGTACCGCAAAGGAGGCAGCGGCACAGAGGCAGATCTGCTTCATGGTGCTGAGCAGCAGGCGGCGGGCGGCCATGCAGCCCTCGCCCCCCGCCTGGGCGACGGCTTCACGGGGGGCTTCGGGATGGGCCCCCCGGAGCCCAGCTCGGTCCCGCACCGCCGCCCGGGCGGGGGCCAGGTCCTGCCGCAGTGGGAGCCAGGGAACGCCTCCCCTCCGTCCCTCCGTCCCTCCTTCCTTCCCTCCTTCCCTCCCTCCGCAGCGCTCGCAGCATCCCCGCATCCCTGCCAGCGAGCTGGTACCAAGGTCTCACACCTTGACGGGTCCCAGTTGGACTGGGAAGGTCGGGGGGGGGGGAACTGGGGGAGGGCAGTTCTCCCACCCTGTGCCCAAAGGGAGACAAGGATGCACCCCAAAAAAACGGGGTGAGCATCCTCCCGCTGCCCTAATCCTGCTCCCCAAGGATGTAGGACCCTCTCCCTGCCCTGGGGGGGGGCACAGCCTTTACCTCCCAGCTCTGGGGCTAAGATGGGAGGGCAGAACCCCCCTGTCTGCACCTTAGGGGACCCCCCGCAAGGAGGGAACCCCAAAATACAAAAGGTTCCCAGGCACCTGTCCCAGAAAAAAACATGGGGACAGCAAGACCGCAGTGTCCAGGGCAGCGTGGGGAAACTGAGGCACGGAGCACCCCTAGCACAGCCCCGTCCCCCCCCCCCGTTCCCCCCGGCATGGGGATGGCGCCAGCCGGGTGCTGAATAATTCAGGAGTGTCGGCTCGCTGCCTCCAGGGGGGGGAACCCAATCCACCCGTGGCGGCCACCCCACATCCCTGGGGACAGGAACAGGGACAGGACCCAGGATCTGGGACCAGTTTCCCTCTCCCCGGTGCTGCTCCGTGGGTGCTGGGGGCACCCATGGGTGCAGCGGGACGGCGGCTGCACCAGCCACAGTGGCACTGGTGACCTGGTGGGGCTGCTGTCCCCATGTCTCGGGGGTGGGCACCGTGTTCCCCTGCCCCCTGGAGACTCGGAATACCCCGGGGCAGGTCCCTATTTCCTTCCCCTCGGACATCCCGGGGCAAGTCCCCATTTCCCTGTGAAATTTGGGACATCCCGGGGCAGGTCCCTGTGTGCCCGTGTCCCCATGAAATTTGGGACATCCCGGGGCAGGCCCCTCTGTGCCCGTGTCCCCATGAAATTTGGGACATCCCAGGGCAGGTCCCCACGTCCCCGTGGATGTCCTGGGGCAGGTCCCCACGTCCCCTCGCCCCTCGGGGCCAGCACTCACGTCTGCCTTCTTGAACTTGGCCTTCAGGCTCTTCATGGTGGCAGCGTCCGGGGGCTTCGGCTGCCCCTTGGGGACAAGCCCTGGGGCCGTGCCCGTGACAGGGGGGCAGTGGCAGCTTTTGGGGGCCTTTCCCCAGCGGGTTCTGGCCCCGAAGCCCCAGCTCCCGGTGTCTCCTGCCTGTCCCCTGCCTCCCCACAGCAGCACGGGGGGGCCACGGGGCGGCATTGGGTTACGGCTGCGGTTACAGCCAGCACAGGGGGGGCCCAGCAGTGCCCAGCCCCAGGCTGGGTGGGGGGCACAGCCATCCCCCAAATCCCCAGGCACGGGCACGGGGGGGGTGCAGAAGGGATTGTGGCAGGGATGGGCCGGCCCCGACTGTGGGGCAGAGGGGCTGGGACCACCGGGATCTGTCCCCTCTGGGTCTCTCGGGGGGCTGTGGGTGCAGGCGGGGGGGGCATGGCTGGGCCCAGCAGGGCTGGCACCCCCTGCCCTTGTCTGGCACCCTTTTGTGTGGCACCCCCTTGTGTGACACCCCCTGCCCTTGTCTGGCACCCCCTCACCTGGCACCCCTTTGTGTGACACCCCCTTGTTTGGCACCCCCTGCCCTTGTCTGGCACCACTTTTCATGGCACCCCCTTGTCTGGCAGCCCTAGCGTGACCCCCCCTTTCCTGGCACCCCCTTGTGTGACACCCCCTTGCCTGGCACCCCCTGCCCTTGTGTGACACCCCCTTGTCTGGCACCCCCTTCATGGCACCCCCTGCCCTTTTCCAGCACCCCTTTGCATGGCACCCCCTTGTGTGACACCCTGTTGTGTGACACCCCCTTCATGGCACCTCTTGTGTGACACTCCCCTTGTGTGACCCCCCCTTTCATGGCACCCCCCTGCCTGACACCCCCTGCCCTTGCCTGACACCCCTTGGGCACCCTCTTCATGGCACCCCTTGTGTGACACCCCCTTTTCCTGACACCCCCTTTCCTGACACCCCCTTTTGTGACCCCCTTGTGTGCCCCCCCTTTGTGTGCCCCCCCCCTTTCCCCCCGTGCTTCGGGGACCGAAGGCAGCACCAAGTGAGGGCACCCCCCCCCTCGCTGCCAGCCCCCAAGATGGCGGCGCCGCCTTCCCCCTGGCGGGGCGGCTCCCCGCTCATCCGCGCCCGCCCCGCGGCCTCCCCCAGCGCTTCCGCCCGCCCGGGGACCGACAACAATGAGCGCTCCGGTGCCCGGGGCGGGCCATGGCGGTGAACTACGCGGCCGGGCTCTCGCCCTACTCGGATAAAGGCAAATGCGGCCTCCCCGAGGTGAGCGCGGCCTAGCGGGGGCGGCCCGCCGCGGCCTAGCGGGTCTCCATGGCAACCGAGCCTGTGCCTCCCCCCCCCTCTCCATTGGGGTTTTTGGGGGCCCCCCAGGCCCTTCTGGGGTTCCTCCTTTTTGCCCTGCCCTCCCCTCAGCGTGTTCTGCCCCTTGGGGTGGCCGGAGGGGTGTGAGGGGTGTTTTGGGTGGCACTGGGGGGGGTTGGGGGTGACCCTGTCCCCACGTCCCTGGCGATGCTCGGGAGGTAGAGAAAGCCCAGAAATGAGATAATTGAGGGGAAAGTTCATTAAGGTGCATAAATATCTGAGGGGGCTCAGCCTGGGTGATCCTCAGAGGTCCCCTCCGCCCCCAGCCATGCTGGGGTTCTGTGAAGGGCTCTGGGGGGTTGGGGATGGGGTCGTGCAGGGGCCTGTCCCCAGCCCTGGTCCCCAGGAGGCTGGGCTGGAGAAACAGCCCACAGAAATAAAATTCAGTGCCTGCTCCAAAAGGCAGCATGGCCCCAGGACTCCCTCTGCCAGTGCCCACTGTCCTGCTGGTTTGAATCCCTTAACCTCTGTGGGGACGGCTGATAAAGGGCTGTCCCTCTCCAGCCGTGTGTATTTATCATTAAAAAACGCGACCAAAGCCTCCTGCCTGGAGTTTTCACCGCGGATTTGTGGTGCGCTGGGTCTCTGCCTGCCGGGAGGCGCGCAGGGCCCGTGGCTGTGTCTCTCCATTCCCCTGGTGGTTTCTCTTCTCAGATCTTTGACCCGCCGGAGGAGGTGGAGAGGAAGGTGCGTGAGCTGGCGGATTTGATCAGGAGCTCCTCCAACGTGGTGTTCCACACCGGGGCCGGGATCAGCACCGCCTCGGGGATCCCCGACTTCAGGTAACGACGGTGGGCAGCAGGCGCGGGCCGGGAGGACAGCAGCTCTGCCGCGTCCACCTCGCACCTCGTAAAGCTCTGCCCTGTGCTTCCCGCCCCCTATCCCACCTGCAGGGAGACCTGCTCCATCCCTCCCGTCCGGTCCCGTATCCAGCTGAAACCTTTCCCGTCTTGCATGCTGGCTTGGTGTTAAATTGTGCCCACAGACGCCCTGCACGTGCTCTGCTTGCATCAAGGACGTTAATCGGTAACGCATGACCCTCGTTTAGCAATGCCCTGCTCGTCCTCTGCTGATAGGGCTCGTGATGGGTGTGCAAGCGTCCTCCTGGAGCCTGAGACCTCAGCTTTTGCTTCTTCTTCTGTCCCCGCTGCTGCAGGGGGCCCAATGGCGTCTGGACTATGGAAGAGAAGGGGCTCTCCCCAAAGTTCGACACCACCTTCGAGAACGCCAGGCCCTCCAAGACTCACATGGCGCTGCTGGGGCTGCAGAGGGTCGGCATCCTGAAATTCCTGGTCAGCCAGAACGTGGACGGCCTTCACGTGCGGTCGGGATTCCCACGGTACTACCCCCTCCTCCCTGCCTCCAGGTCCCTCGTGCCTGTCCCCTCTGCGTGCGGTTCGTGCTTAGCACGGCCTCACGTGCAAACGTTTGCAGACAGAAAGCAACAGTTTAATTAATTCTCTCCCTGTGCTGGGCTTGAGTTTTGAGGCTGGTTTGGGAGCCGGCTGCTCGCTGATGCTGGGCACAGAAATTGGAGTGCAGCGGTGAGGGAAGAGGTAGAGAAAGCAGCCTGAATTTAGGGGAGAGGCGTGATGGGTGCGATGTGGAGGGTGCTGAAATGAAGTCAGCCTCAGCTGGCGCTCTCAGAAGCGCACCCAGAAGCTGCTGAGGGTGCTGCCGGGTGGGACAGGCGGCGTTGCTGGGCTGTTGCATGCTGTCCCCTGTCAGCTGAGCATTGTGCTGCTCAGGCCTCTGCTTGAGCTGAATTTCTCGAGAGAAAGCAATTAACGGCAGCGCTGCCCCATTGAGGAAACGATGCCTGGGCCCAGGTTTGCCTCCGAACGTGCTTGGCTTCTCAATAACTGTGTGGAAATGCAGGAGGGGCAGGGCAGGGAGAGTTCTGTCCTGGGTCTGCTCTGACGTACCGGCTGCGGTCTCCGGTTTCTTCAGCAGCTGTGGCAGGGCCGGGGATAGCGGCGTTCCCTCGCGGGGAGCTGCGACGTGCAGGAGCTGAGGGGGAGAGATCTCCGCTCCCTGCTGGGTGGAGGCCGAGGCGCAGCCCCGTGGCTATTTCAAAGTTGTCCTCAGATGCACCCGCAGCTCCGTGAGCGCTTGCAGCAGCAAGAAACGTCAGCCTGTGATTAAAAAAAAAACAAAACAAAAAAAACATTTCCAGCTCTTAAGACCACCGAGCGATTATCTTCTTGTAAACCAAAGTGCTCGGAGCTGCCTGGAAGAGAAGCAGCTGTGTTTGAGTAAGAGAAGAAAGCGCAGGAGGTTCGGGTGAGAATAGGGAGCAGGAGGGGGACCTCGGTAAAGACACGTCTCAAAACTGGCCTCAGCTGTCGTTGGGGAGCAGAGAGCTGCCTCGGGGGCTGTTCCCTCTTATTAAAAGCCCCGAGTCCTGGTTCCTGCTCCTGGCACCACCTTTACCTTTACCTAAACAACCATGGGGAAAAAAGGATAGGAAAAAATCAGCCGGGCTCCCCTCAGCCCGGTGCCACCTGCTGGTTTGGCGTTGCTCTTCCCCTCGGTGCAGCACGTGCTTGAGAGAGCTGCTGAACTGGTGCCAGGTGGTTCAGCGCTGTAGGAATCAAGTCAGTCCTGTCCCCGTCCTCCCCGGAGGAGGTTTCCAGTCGTTGTGGGGCTCGCAGGAACACGAGGAGAGCGTGGCTTCGTTTTCCACTGGCTTCAGCACTTTGGGGCTGGGGCTGAGCTCGAGGGGAGTTTTGGTTGAAAGGAGTGGCAGAGAAAACGGGAGAAAAGCCCGGAGTGCTGAGAAGAGCGAAGACCTGGGCGGTGGCAGGGCGGCAGAGATGGTTTGGGACTGGGTCAGAGCAGGTGGAGAACTGCTGCTTTGGCTGGAAGCTTTTAAAACCAAAAAGTTTTTAAAACCAACAAGCTTTTAAAACCAAAAAGCTTTTCAAACCAACAAGCCAGGCCGTGCTCCCTTCCCCGCAGTCCCCGTTGTGGTGGACGCAGCACAGTGCTCTCGTGCTGGAAGTGGAAGCGGGCAGCAGGAGCTCTCTCCCCAAGCTCTGAACTCATCCTCTGGGGTCTTCCCTGCCCGGCAAGCAGCACGGCTCTGCCCAGAACACCTTTGCACGGTTATTTCTCGAGCTAAATGCCCAAGTGGTGCCCTTCTGCCAGCTCCTGCCTGCCCTGCGTGCTCTGGCTGCCCTCGGTGAGCCCTCGGCGAACCCGCTCAGCCTCGTGGCACCCAGAGCCCTGCTCTGATGCAGCCACCTCGTTAGTCTGCAGCTACCTAATTCCCCTGGTGCTGACCTTGTGGGACGTGGGGAAGCCCTTGAGGTGCAGGTCCCTAAGGGGGGGGTCGGGCAGCTTTCCCTGGTGCCCCGGGGCCCCCCTCCCCCTTCCCCGTTCACCTCTGCCATTTCTCCTGCAGGGACAAGCTGGCCGAGCTCCACGGGAACATGTTTGTGGAGGAGTGCATGAAATGCGGCAAGTACGTGAGCTGCGAGCCTGGGGGCTTCGCTGCTGCCCCCAGGGGGGGACACAGCCCTGCACGTGCTGTGGGGACTCTGGCTGACAGGCCCCTAGCACGGCGTGCAGGGCTTCGGGGGCAGATCTGCCCTGTCCGAGTCCTAAACCCCACCAAATGTTGGGAATTGAACGTTTTGAGAAACAAGGTTGTAAGAGGAGGCTGCTCCACGCCAGGTTTTCTGTCCTGGTTGGTAGCAACCCTCTGTGGCTCTGGAGCTGGTGGGGGAGCTGGGGGGGGCTCTTGAGGGTCTACAGAATCAATGGGGGAGTCTGTAGGGTCAATAGAAGCCCTGTGGGGTCTATAGGGTTTGGGGGGGCTTCCCCTGAAAGGGCAGAAGCTGCGGGCAGCACCTGGTGGGAGATGTGGGCTGAGATTCGGTGCTGAGCTCATGGCTCTGAGCCGCCTGCCTTGGGTCCTGGGTGTGATGTGAGAGGCGCTGCGGGGACGTTTTTGGGGCTGTGGCACCTCTCCTGAGCAGCGCCCCGTGTGTCCTGTGCGCAGGCAGTACGTGCGGGACGCCGTCGTGGGCAGCATGGGGCTGAAGCCAACGGGCAGGCTGTGCAGCGTCACCAAAGCCCGGGGGCTGCGGGCCTGCAGGTAACGCCAGGGGGGGCTCCGGGAGGGGACAGCGTGCTGGGGAGGGGGCACAGCCCAGCACCGGGGAGGCAGGAGGTGGTTGTGGGGCTCAGATTTGGTGTGGAGGGGCTGTGGTGTGGGGCAGGGGGGAGATCCGAGCTCTCTGAGCTGAACGGGGCAGGAGCCAGGGCAGCTGCCTGCCCCTCGAGAGAGCTGGTGCAGGAGGGTGGGGGGCTCCCGGCCAGCTCTGAAGCTGGGGGGGGCTAAATAAAGGCACATCCCGGCTCTGAACAACCACAGTGAGAGTGGCTTTTGGTGGCATCTCAGCACCAGCCACAAGATAAATTCATGCAGGTGAATTCTCTGCGTTCCCTTGCTTGCTGGGGGGTCCTTGGAGCTGCCCTGGGCTCCCTCCCATCCCTCTGCAGCTCGGGGCCGAGCAGGGTGTGAGGGGGTCGCTGTCACCGGAGCTGTCCCCGCTGTCCCAGGGCAGCTCTGCCCGGCAGGAGTAACCCTGGTCCCCGTGTGTCTTCTAGAGGGAAGCTACGAGACACGATTCTGGACTGGGAGGATTCCCTTCCCGACCGTGACCTCACGCTGGCGGACGAAGCCTGCAGGTACGGCTGTTTTCAGGCTTTTAAACCCCCCGCAGCTGCTGACACCCGCAGCAGCCGTCCCTCAGGCTGCCCCCGCCTGCCTTTGGCCGTGGGTTTTGTGCCTCGCAGCCCTGGGGCTGTCCCGGTAGGGCAGCAGTGCCTGGCTCTTTACCCAGAAAGTGGCCAAGAAAAAAAAAAATGCAGGTTCTGGCCGCAGCTTTGCTTTCTGGCTCAGAAGCTCGTAAAGTCCAGGCTGGACCAGGGTGGAAGCAGCAGTCCGTGCACGGTTGTGGGTTTTAAGTAATTAATTATTTATTTTCTCTGCCCTGGATGTTTTGTTTTTTCTCCTCCCTGCAGGAAAGCCGACCTCTCTGTCACGCTGGGGACCTCCCTGCAGATCAAACCCAGCGGCAACCTCCCGCTGATCACGAAGAAGAGAGGAGGGAAGCTCGTCATCGTCAACCTGCAAGCCACCAAGCACGTGAGTGGGGGCGTCCTTGCTGCTCTGCGCTCGGGGCAGTTCTCTCTGCCCTGCTCTGCTCCTTTCCCCACGTTTTTTTAGCCCCGTCGTGGGCTGGTCCCTGCACATCGCCCCCTCCCAGGCAGAGGGGTGGAAGGCTGGGCCTCCGCTGTCGCAGGGTTTAAGGCTGCAACCTGTGATTAACGCACAGAACTGGGAGGTACACACCTTCAGAGCGTAATAAAAGCCCGTCCCAAAGCCTGGTGTATCCTCTGGTGAGTTATCTCCAGCGAAATAACTGCACACGCGTAACCTGTGTCAGGAGGAGCTCGTTCCATCAGCAGCACTGCTTTCGGTGCCCCAATTGTTCAGTTTTCTGAACAAACCAGAGCTGGGGGGTTGCTGGGATGCTGTTAGAGCTCCCTTGTCCCTGTTTGCACCCGTTTAAAGGTGCAAACAGCCTGCCCCAGGACGCAGCCCTGGCCCCTGCGAGCCAGCTGGGGTCAGGGGCTGAGTCCGTGCTCCTCCACGGGCGGTGTCCCGGGGACAGGAGCCCTGGAGTGTGGGTGCAGCCCCTGTCCCCGGGCGCTCCCTGGGAGCAGCCGCCTGTCCCCGCACGCGGTGTCCGTCCCCTAACGCCACGCTTGCCCTTGCTCACCCCAGGACAAACAGGCCGACCTGCGCATCCACGCCTACGTCGACGATGTCATGACCAAGCTGATGAAGCACCTGGGGCTGGAGGTCCCGGAGTGGCTGGGGCCGGTGGTGGTGGAGAGCGCCGAGCCCGCAGAGCCCCGACAGCTCTTCAAATTTGAGCCCGAGGCACGCGGGCTGCTCAAGGAGGAATCCTTCGCCCAGTGCAACGGCACGGCCGGGCTGTGCCCCGACCTCGGGACCACGCTGGTGGAGCACGGCGACAGCCTGAAGCAGGACACGGGGCCGCCACCGACGAAGAAGGTGAAGGTGGAGCCTCTCCTCACCTGACCCGGACTGTTCCCCGGCTGTCTAGGCGCTCGTCTGCGCCACTTTTCCTACCGACTTTTTTTTTTAATATCCTCCAACGTTGTCCCTTTTTTATGTAAGTATTAAATACACTCGAATTGTGTGCGTCTGGGCAGCTTGCACCCGCCAGCCGGGGAGGAACGTCCCCTGCTTGAAAATGGCACGGCCCCGCTCGGTGCAATTCCCTCCCTGTGAGGAGGGGGCTGCGGAGCCCAGCTGCGCCCTGCAGACCTCGGGGGGGCCCCGAGACGAGTGCTGGGCCAGTAACACTGGGGGGGTGACACTATGGGGTCCTTGGGGCAGCTGCAGCAGTCCCAAACAGAGCTGGGGCTGAGCTGGTGGTGGCTCACGGCAAAATCCCAGCTCGGCTGGGTCCTGTCACCTCCTGGCAGCTGCACTGGGGACGTGCCCTGCCCAAGGGGTCCTCGGAACCCTGCAGCTCACCCTATTAAACACCTGTGAAACCCCATTGCATTAAACAAAGGCAGGTGATTTTTTTTTTTCCAAAATACCTTTATTTAGTGATGAAAATGAAGTTAAAAAAAAAAAGTGAACAAAACCACCAAGCTGCAGTGTCAATAACCAGCCAGACCGGGGCCTTTTGGGTCCCCTCCTCCCCACCTTGACCAACCCCGTATCCTTTCGGCAACCCCCGCCGCACCCCGGGGGCGGGAGCAGCCCCTTTCTTCCCTCCCAGTAAGGCCAGTGGGAACCAGTCTCCTCTTCCCAGTTCACAGATAGAAGCAAAGCCAAGTGGGTCCAGCATCTGTCCACGCCTGGAGGGGGGGACCCTGGGGGGCCACCCCGAGGGCTTGTCCCAGAGGGGATGGGGCGCATCCCCCGTGGTCCCTGGGTGCTGTTTAAAGCTCCTCGGCTGGCTCCAGCCCCGTGGGCCGGCCGCTGTGCTCACCCTCGGTCCACGCGAGCGCTGCGAGGCTGTCCCCCGATGTGCTGCCGTCCCCCGACGTGCTGCCACCCCCTGCCACGCCGCCACTTCGCTCCATGTCCCCATGGCTCGGGCTGTCGGAGGCGAGGGGCCGGCTGCGGTTGCGGGGCGAAGCCTCGTCCGGGCGCGGGGAGAAGGAGCGGGCACTGAAAGCTTCGTGCAGGGTCTCGGGGCTTTCGCCCCCGTGCTCCGACCACAGCGGCTCCGGGGGCTTCTCGTCCCTGCCCCGGGGCTGTGCGTAAGCCACGCGGGAGGCGGCGGCGTTGTGCAGGGACCTGGAGAAAACTGAGCACGCAGGAGGGTCGGGGTCAGCACCGGTGCCCCCTCCCCACCCGGCACAGTGCTGGCACAGAGCCCCCGGCCCCCGCCTCACCTCGCACCGGGCCGAAGTCCCCGTCTGCCTCGGCCTTGCTGGGGGCAAAGGGGCTGATGGAGGGGAAGACGATGAGCGCGAAGGAGAGCAGCAGGACCTGGGGGCAGAGGAGGGGATGTCACCGGGTGGCATTGGAGGGGGCTGTGGTTCATGGGGAGGGGGCTGGGGGCAGACCCAGGGCTGTGCCCCCCCCATTTCTCCCTGCCCGGGCTCCCCATCCAGCTCTCCGCCTGTCCCTACCCATCCATCCTCACCTGTGTCCATCCTTCCATCCAACCCCAGAGCGTCTCTCCCCCCACCTCAGCCCGTGCCCACCCTTTTACCCGTCCCTCCACCCGCCCCCACCAGCACCACCCCGCTGGTTCCTCACTCCCCGGAGCTTTTTGGGGCAGGGAAGGGGGGCTCGGGGCCGGGGGCTCCACGCACCGCGATGCAGGTCCCCGTCTGCGCTGCCTTGTTGCTCGACTGCACCACCAGGGCCTGGAGTTTCTTCAGCTGCTCCAGGAGGGACCTGGGGACGGGGAGGACCCCTCAGCACCCGGCTGCTCCGGGATTCACCCCACAACCACCCCATCCAGCCCCGTCCTGCCCCCCCTTTCAGCCCTGGGGACACCTACGAGTTCTGCTTCTCCAGGTGCAGGACTTTCCTCTGCAGCTCCTGGTTCTGGGCTGTGCACGCTGACATCCTGGGGGACAGGGAGAAAGGCGTGAGGTCGGGGGGGCACCGCTGGCAGCCCCCCCAGCCGGGTGCGGGGGCTCGGGGCCGTACCGGCTCTCCAGCCCGTCGATGTATTCCTTCTTCTTCTTGCGGCTCTCCTGCGCTGACTGCTTGTTCCTGATCTTCCGACGGATCTTCTTCAGCACCCGCTCCTCGTACTGGGGACACAGAGCAGGGGGTGAGGGCAGCCGGGGCCAGGAGGACCCCCACAACCCGTGCGCCCCCAGGGGTGCAGCGAGTGCGTCCCAAGCACCCCAGGACCCACCTTGGTGAGGGGCAGCTGCGTGGGCAGGGACACCCCCTCCTTGGCCAGAAGTTTCTTCTCGTCCTCCGTCAGCACCAGCTCCTGGAACTGGCCCTGGCTCTGCCTCAGCAGGGAGCTGGGTGCCTGCGGCTGCTGCGGGACCGCGGGCAGGTGAAAATCCCGGGCTGTAGGTTTGCCCCCTGCCCGTCCCCAAGGACCACGGGTGGGCACCGAGCTTCCAGGGTGAGGGGAGGCACCCAGGAAGGGGCAGGAATAGGAACGTGGTGCGGGAAAGGGGACGGGTGTGGGACGGGGGGGAAGGAAGGGATGGGAACGGGAACGGGGTGGTGGTCCAGGAGGTGGTGGGGGTAAGGAGGAAAGGACGGGGACAGGGACCCGAGGGAGGACAAGGACAAGGGTGGGGAAGGATGGTGAAAGGGATGGGGACAGGGTTGGGGCCGCGGTGATGGGGACTCACAGCATCGGAGCTGCCCGACAGCAGCAGGTCCTTGACGGTGAGGGTGCAGGACGCGGGCGCGGAGACCACGGGCAGGTCCCGGCCCTCCTCCATGAAGAAGCCGGGGTGCCACATGTCTGGGCAAGGGGTGCGGGGGGGGGCAGGGGGGGGCTGTCAGCTCTGCTGTGTCCTTGTCCCCCCCCCCCCCAACTCCTGGCTTCCCCCCCCCAGACCCCCAGACCTCTCCGTTTCTCCCCACTCTGCCCAAATCCCCCCAATTCCCCTATTTCCTCACCATCCCTGATAGACCCCATCTCCCCCAACCCCCCCAGCCTCCCAGTGTCCCCAGTATCCTCCCACAGCCTCCCAGTGTCCCCAGTATCCACCCCCCCAGCCTCCCAGTGTCCCCAGTATCCTCCCCATGGCCTCCCAGTGTCCCCAGTATCCCCTCCACAGCCTCCCAGTGTCCCCAGTATCCCCCCCACGGCCTCCCAGTGTCCCCAGTATCCCCCCCACGGCCTCCCAGTGTCCCCAGTATCCCCCCCAGCCTCTCCCCATGGCTCACCCAGGTCGATGGAGACCTCAGGGTGCGGGGCCCCGGTGCCCCCGGGGATCGGCAGCACCTGGCAGGGGTTGGCGTAGGGGTACGGGGCCTCGCCGAGCCCCCCGTCGCAGCACCCCGGGGGGCTGTCGAGGTGGTCGGAGGAGGGGTCCTCGGACACCCCGCTGTCACTGGCCGCTGGGGACCAGCTGGGAGAGTCGGACGCTGAGTCCCCAGAGCCCAGGATGGAGCTGAGGAAGTCGTCGCCGTCCCGGGTGCGCTGCGGGGATACGGGCGCCCATCACCACAGGGTGCCCATCGCTGTGGGGTGCCCGCAGGAACCCCCCCCAAGCTGTGGGACGACCCCACAAACTGCCCCAGCTCGCCCCGGGGGCTCACCCCGTCCTCGTGCCAGGTGCCCGGGGACGTCCCCAGCTCCACGCCGCGGAGGATCCCGTCCTGGCGGTCGAAGAGGAGGTCCAGCAGGTCGAGGCTGTCGAGGCTGCCCACGGTGGAGGCCATGGCTGCGAAGAGGCAGGGTCAGGCCCCCAGCCCCGTCCCCGTGTTTGCCCCCCCTGCCACAAGGCTCTACGGGACACCCCGGCTCACAGGGCAGGTGAGGGGGGAGCGAGGAGCACGGGGACCTGTGTGGGACCACGAGGTGTACGTGCACAGTGCGTGTGAAACTCCCAAATCCTGCGTTTTTTTCCCCAAAGAGGTCTGCGCAGATCCCAAAGGGATCCCCACAGCCCCCCCAGCTGCCCCAGCCCCGCCATGCCCCCGGGCAGAGGAGCAGGATGAGGCCCCAGAGCTCAGCACTCCTCAGCTCCCCTGTCCGGCCCCGTCCGGCCCCGGGGAGATCGGGTTAATCATTTGGGGCAGCGAAGGGAGGAGGGGAGGAGGCCCCAAAAGGGGGGGGGAATCGGCCTCGTTCTGCCCCTGCCACGACATTTCCAGGCCCTGAGCCCTGAGGGACCCCAAGGACCGACCGGGCACAACAACCCGACCAGCTGAGCAGCAAAATCAACAAAATCGGCCAAGAACGGGATCAACCGGCCAACCCGTTGGCCAACCCAGCAGCTGTTTGCCCAAATAACCAACCCGTTGCCTGCCCGTCCAACCAACCCCTTCCCAACCCGCCCCCCGGCCACCCAGCCCACCGCCTGACCCTACAAACGACCCTCCCAAACCCACGGGTCCTTCATGCTGGGCCTGGGGACGGCTGTTAAACATTAAAGTTTTCTTTAATTTGTTAAATTTTGGGTGGCCGGCCTAAAAAGGGTTTTTTTTGACCCCATCCTTGATCCCTGCTCCTTTCGGTGAGCCCCATGGTGCCAGTGGGGCCCCGCTGAGCACCTTGTACAACCCATACCTGCACGAGATCCCAAAACCAGCGGATCCGTCCCGGCTCCTCAACCCCCCTCAGCACACAGCAGCGGGGCGGACGCCGAGCCCGGCCACCTCCTCCTCCTCCTCCTCGCCCTGACCCGAGTGGCAAAGTTTAAACTCCAACGGCACAGAAATAGCGGCCGGGATTGCAAAATCGCCCGGGTGCTGATTGGGGCCGGCGGTGCGCCACGGCAGGGCGGCCCGGGGGAAGGCCCGCTGCGCCCCGTAACTCATTAGCCAAATGTTTTTGTCCTCCTCTGCCGAGCGGGGCAGGAGGGGCCCGTGGGCGAAGTCCGGGCTCCGCAGCTGCCCGTGAACTTTCACCCAATTTGGGGATGATTTCCTATTTTTTTTTTTTTCAGCGTTAATCACTTTTTATAGGTGCTGAGAACATCCGGGGAAGACGTTGGCTTGGACTCTACCACCCAGCACCTCCCCACGTCACCTCGGTCCCTGCCGGGCCTCGTGCCCGGGGCTGGGCTGGTCCCCGGGGGGGCTGCCTGTGCCCTCCACCCCTTGGGGTCCCCGCTGTCCCCTGGAGGGACAACAGCATGAAAGTTTGGGGCTCGCTGGCCAACGCATCCATCCTGCATCCCTAGCGCCCTACGGTGAGGCCGCGAGGCTGATGTGCCACCCACGGGCGAGGCCGGGCCCTGCTGCAGGTGCCGGACCCCAAAACGGTGGTGGGGTGGTGGCGGTGAGGAGGGGGTCGTGGCTCGCCCCCTCCCTGCCTCCCTCGTGTGCGGTGAGCGCAGTGGCGCGTGACGGAGGCGCGAGGCGGCGGGGGCAAGGCCGCGCCGTGCGGTTATCTCGGCCGCGACGCCCTCTGCCCGGGCGGACGGGGGCAGGCGCCGCCTTCACGCCCCGCTCTATGGCCCCGCCGCGGAGACGGGAGCCGCTGGCACCGAGCAAAGGGCAGCCGCTGCCACAGCCTCCACCCTGGCACCACCCCGCGGCCTCGCTTCATCCCCACCCTCGTCCCCTTGGTGCTGGGGGCTTGGTGGTGGGGTCAGCGCAGGGCTGCCCCGAGACACAGAGGCTGCAGCCTCCGGGCTTGGCCTCACCTTGACGGGAGCCGTGCCCAGCAGCAAGGGGCTGCCCTGGTACTCAGAGGCCGTGCTAGGCCTCAACCCCTACACAAAGGACCCCTACACACGGGCCTCGACTCCCACAAGGGCCCCTACAAGGGTGGGCCTTGACCCTACATGGGCTTCGACCCCCACACAAGGGCCTTGATCCTCCACGGGCCTCGACCCCTACACGGGCCCCATAAGGGTGGACCTCGACCCTACACGGGTCTCGACCCCTACAAGGGCCTCGTTCCCACAACAAGGGCCTCGACCCCACAAGGGCCTTGATCCTCCACGGGCCTTGATCCCCACAAGGGCCTCAACCCCTACATGGGCCTTGACCCCACAAGGGCCTTGATCCCTACAAGGGTCTCAACACCTACACAAGGGACCCCTACACGCGGGCCTCGACTCCCACACGGGCCCCTACAAGGGTGGGCTTCGACCCTCCACGGGCTTCGACCCCTCCACGGGCCTCAACCCCTCCATAGGCCTCGACCCCCACACGGGCCCCTACAAGGGTGGGCCTTGACCCCTACATGGGCCTCGACCCCCATAAGGGCCTCAACTACACACGGGTCTCGACCCTACAACAAGGGCCTTGACCCCCACAAGGGCCTGGACCCCTACATGGGACTCAAACCCTACACAAGGGCCTTGACCCCCACAAGGGGCCCCTACAAGGGTGGGCTTCGACCCTCCATGGGCCTCGACCCCCACAAGGGACCCCTACACGTGGGCCTGGACCCCTACACGTGGGCCTCGACCCCACACGGGCCTCGACCCCAGCCTCCCCCCGCTCTCGCGAGACCCCCTCTCCCCCCACCCCTCCTCCCTCCCTAAACCCCTCCCTTAGCCCCCTCCCCTTTAACCCCCTCCCCCTTCAGACCCCTCCCCCCCGAGGCCCCGCCCCCGGTGCCCGCAGGCGCGGCGCGGCCCGGCCATGCCGGCCAAGAGGAAGCCGCTGCTGCCCGCCCTCACCATCACCCCCAGCGCCACCGAGGGGCCCGGGCCCGCCGGCTCCGCAGAGTGAGGCTGGGGGCTGGGGGCTGGGGGAGGGAAAGGAGGGAGGGGGGTGGGGAGGCCCGCACGGCCTCCAGGAGGATGGGAACGGCCGGGCCTGGGGTGGGGGGGGGAGGCTGGGGGGGTGTAAAGGGGGTAAAGGGGGGCTGGGGGGGGGCAAAGGGGGGCTGCAGGAGGCTGTGGGGGGCTGGGGGGTAAAGGGGGAGGCTGCAGGGGGCTGGGGGAGGCTGCAGGATAAAGGGGAGGCTGGGGGGTATGGGGGTAAAGGGGGAGGCTACAGGAGGCTGGGGGGGTAAAGGGGAGGCTGGAGGGGGTAAAAGGGGGCTGGGGGGGCTGCAGGGTAAAGGGGAGACTGGGGGGTATGGGGGTAAAGGGGGAGGCTATGGGGGGCTGGGGGGGGCTGGGGGATAGGGGGGTAAGGGGGAGGCTGGAGGGGGCTGGGGGAGGCTGGAGGGGGCAAAGGGGGGCTGAAGGGGACTGGGGGGGCTGCAGGAGGCTGGAGGAAGCTGTGGGGTAAAGGGGGAGGCTGGAGGAGGCTGGAGGGGGTAAAGGGGGGCTGGGGGAGGCTGCAGGGTAAAGGGGAGGCTGAGGGGTATGGGGGTAAAAGGGGAGGCTATGGGGGGCTGGAGGGGACTGGGAGGCTGGGGGATAGGGGGAGTAAGAGGGGGGCTGGGGGAGACTGGGAAAGGCTGGAGGGGGCAAAGGGGGGCTGGGGGGGCTGCAGGAGGCTGGGGGAGGCTGTGGGGTAAAGGGGAAGGCTGGAGGGGGCTGGGGGATAGGGGGAATAATAGAGGAGGCTTTGGGGGTAAGGGGGGTAGAGGGGGAGGCTGGGGAAGGCTGGGGCATAGGAGGAATAAGGGGGGAGGCTGGGGGATGGGGGGGGGGGGACAGACCAGGATGGGCCCGGCCTCGGGGGTGTCCCGGTGGGGAAGGGGTCGGGGAGAGGTGGGGCAGGGGAGAGGCCGGCCTCACCCACAGCTCGGTTGGGCTATAAGGGAGGCTGGGGGTGTCCATGGGGGGGGCTGGGGGCAGCTGAGGCCCGGGAGAGTCTCTTTGGGGGGGGAGGGGGGTGCAGAGCCCCCAGTGCTGGGGCTGGGGGTGGCAGTGATTGGGGTCAGCCCCCCCGCCTCGGGTGCAGGTTTGGGGTGGGGGGGGAGGCAGCAGATGGCAGGGGGGAGGCCAGCAGCAGGTGCCGGGGAGCACAGGCACCGCTTTGTGCCCGGCTGCTGGGGCTGGGGGCGGCGAGGGGGGGGTGGGATGGGGCCGGGGGGGGGCACAGACAAGTTTTGTCCTTCTCGTGTTTCGCAGCAGAGGCCGAGCTTTGGGCCTCCGCTGTCGGGGGGGGGGAAGCTGCTGAGCAGCTGCAGCAGGGGCTCAGGGCGTGGAGGACACTTTTTGGTCAATTCCTTCCATTTTCCTAAAACTCCCCCCCCAAAAAAAAAATAATTGTGGGGTCTCTGTTGCCTCTTTTTGCTCCCTGTGCAGGGAGGAAGGGGGAAATCCTCTTCTCCTGGCCCTTCCCTCGCAGCCCCCTGACCGTCGCCCTCCTTTTTTTTGTCTCTCTCCCCCCACCTCAACCCCCCCAGGGCCAACCTGGTGGACCTCCAGAAGAAGCTGGAGGAGCTGGAGCTGGACGAGCAGCAGAAGAAGCGGCTGGAAGCCTTCCTGACACAGAAAGCCAAGGTGGGCGAGCTGAAGGATGACGACTTCGAGCGCATCTCCGAGCTGGGCGCCGGCAACGGCGGCGTGGTCACCAAGGTGCAGCACAAACCCTCCGGGCTCGTCATGGCACGCAAGGTGAGGAGGGGGCAGCGGGGTCTGCGCCGTGCAAACCCCCCCTGCAGGGCCAGCACCAGCGCCCCGAGCTGGATGTGACCCGTGCAGGAGCTGTGCCAAGCACTGGGTCCTCTCCTCGGAGTCACAGTGCGCAGCGACGTGCAACACCTTGTGTGAAAATGCTGGTTTGTTCTTCCAGTGAGGCTGTTTTTAACAAATTCAGCAAAAAAAAAAAAGGGGGGGGGTCAGAGTGCTAGGATGAGGGTCTTTTGGTGATCCTAGCTGGTAGGTGGAGGGGTGGGGGCCATAAAGCTGTGCCAGCAGCAGCTCCTCCTGAAGATCACCTCCCGGGTGCCTTTCCGTGGTTCTCTACGTTAGAAAAACAGCAGCTTTGCCTCTTAGAAAAGACAAAAATCTTGGTGAAAAATCTGTGGGACGCCTTCCCTGAGAGCCTCTGTTCCCCGCTGCTATGGGGACAGCTCAGCGGGTCTTAGGATGAAGATGTGGCTGCACTGGGAGCTCGGGGTTTGCTGCTGGTGTTTGGTTTGGGAGCATGAGGTGTGTTCGGGTGCTTTGGGGATCGTTGGGAGCTCCGTGAGCAGAAACAAGGCAAAGCTGCCGTGCTGGGCAGCACCGCTGCGTGTCGGGCATCCTACAGCCTTATAGGACCAGCCGCTGCTGCTCCATCCCACCCTGACACCCCGTAGCCCTCACGGCTTTCCTTCCCTCAGCTCTGTTAGCTGACTGCACGGAGCCCAAGGAATAACACAACTGCTCTTTCACACACACAAGCTTCTTTTTTTTTTTTCTTTTTTTACTTTCTGTGGTTTCCTTGATATCAGCACACCTCTTACAACACCTACAAAGCTTGTGAAAACGTTCGTATGTGCTGAGTCAGATCTGCATCAAACTTCTGACTTGTCTTTCTACTCTGAATCCTGCGAGATCTCTCGGCGTGTTGCATGGGCTGGCGGTTGCTTCAGCTGCTCGCAGGCTGCACAGCACTTTTCTTGGCCCTTTATCCTTAATTTTAGCTTGCAAACAGTTAATTAATAAAAAAAGGCAAAGCAGAGCTTTCCTTGAAGACAGTTTTGTTTCTTTCCGACAGTCGGGACTTGCTTACGTGGTTCTGTAAGTCTTGTGTTTGTTTTTTTGAAGGCACTACATCTTTATTTTGTCCTTTCTTGGCAGCTGATTCATTTAGAAATCAAACCAGCCATCAGGAATCAGATTATCCGGGAGCTGCAGGTGCTGCACGAGTGTAACTCCCCGTACATCGTGGGTTTCTACGGAGCCTTCTACAGCGACGGAGAGATTTCCATCTGCATGGAGCACATGGTGAGTCCGCAGCCCTCCTCTGCCCCGCGCTGCTCGGGTCTCTGGGAGCCTGAAATCCTGGGTGAAGTGGTTTTGGGTGCTGCCACTGGTCTTGGTGAGCCTGAAATCCCCAGTGGGGTGGGTTATAGGGTGCTGCCACTCGCTGCTGGCAGCTCTGGTGGCTCCTCACTCCGGCTGCTCAGCATGCAGCGAGGCCACCGTGCCCCCGGTAGGAGCTGTGTGCTCCTGCTCAGGCATCAAAGCTACCAAAATTGACTTTTTGGAAAGCGGAAGCAGAGGTTTGGGGGTTGGCCAAACGGAAATGTTGTAAACCTGCCGCTCTGCAGAGCGCCCTGCGCCTTTTCTCTCCGGCACAGAAGTGTGGTCGCTCCTCCGAATCGGTGCTGACAGCATCGTCCCTGCGCTTACCGCCGAGAGGGAAAGGAAGCGAAAACTACTAACAGCAAGAAATAGAGAGCGTTAAAATAGCTTTCAGCAAGGAGCTCGAGCTCTGATCGCCGGGGATCTTTGCTGTAGAGGCAGCGTGCTTGGTGCTGACTTGCTGGGATGCTGCGTGCCTGCTCCTTTATCATTTGTCTGCGTGGCCAGCAGCTCTGCTTTCCTGCTGGTGTCAGTGCCCTGATGGATTTCGGTGTGTTTTGTTTTGTTTTAGGATGGTGGCTCTCTGGATCAGGTGTTGAAAGAAGCCAAAAGAATTCCCGAGGAGATCCTGGGGAAAGTCAGTATAGCGGTGAGTTCCAGGGGCTCTGCGGGCTGCCGAAAATCCTCGCTGGGCACGCGTTGGGGAAAATGCTCATGCTGCCTTGTGAAGCTTTCTTCATTTCCCTGGATGCATTTTCCCATCCTGAGCTCAAGCAGGAGGTGTTGGGGTGTGGGCTGGGAGCAGGGAAACATTCCCAAGAGCTCTTTGTAGCTCTGTCCCCTGGTGTTGTGCTGCTCTCTGCTGGGACCGCTTTGGGAGAAGCTTTTTTGGGCAGCAAACCCAAGATTTGTGCTTGCTGTGCTGGGGGTTGTTTTGCCCCTCATCTGAATCTGGACACCAGCCACTGCTGGTCCACATCCACGGTGATTAAACCCGAAACTTTTAGTCACCCCGGGAGGCTGTCCTCGCGTCGCACTCGCCGTTCGTGCGGCGTCTCCTGCTGAAGGGAGAGCATTTCCCCTCCCGGCCCTTATCTCATCCTGTCTTTGGTTTCCTTCTAGGTTCTGAGAGGTTTGGCGTATCTGAGAGAGAAGCACCAAATCATGCACAGAGGTGAGAGGAGGAACCTAAAAATAGCCGCCCGTGGTGGAGGAGCCCCGTGTTGTGCCTCGCGCCGTGCTGACACTCTTCTCTCTCACTGTTGTCAGATGTGAAGCCTTCTAACATCCTGGTTAACTCTCGAGGAGAGATTAAGCTGTGTGATTTCGGGGTCAGTGGTCAGCTCATTGACTCCATGGCAAACTCTTTTGTGGGAACTCGGTCCTACATGTCTGTAAGTTCCTTTCAACTTTCCAGTGGTTTTTTTTTTTTTTTTTTCTTTTTGCAACTTGGGTTTGGCTCAGGTGGGGCATGCCGGAGCCACTCACAGTTTTCCTGTGTCCCTGCTCACCGGGGCCGTGCTCCCTTTGGGCACTGCCACACCACGCTTACCTCTCGCTGTCCCACGTGTGGGATCAGGCTGTGGGGTGTGGGCACCCCGTGGATAGAAGCAAGCACCCTCGTGTCTCCTCGTGGCTTTTGATGCGCTTGGCGCCAGATGAGCCGCTCTGAGCTGCTCCTTGCTGCACCTCCACCAGCTTGGGGCTGGCGAGACGGAGCTGCCCCTGCAGGGAAAGCCATTCACATCCTACAAGTGCTCCCATCACGTTTCAGCAAGCGTTTCTGGGTTCAGGAATGTCTCTTGGTACGCAAAGCTCTGCGAAATGAAGCGTGGTGGTGCAGAGGGGACGCTGGTGCTGACGCCCACCCCCTGCTCATCGGCGGTGGGTGCAGACCACCCTGGTGCAGGTGGGTTTTGGTGCAGGCAGTGGGAAACCAGAGCTGAGGAGAGCTGCCCAAAGAGCTTCGTGTGCCCCCTTTATCCGGGAGCTGTGATCGGTGTTAGCCCAGCCATGGGACGGGGCGGTGATGCGGTGAGCCTGGCGCAGCGGGTGGCATCGTGCAGCCTCCTCTGCCTCGTGTGGCTCTGTCCCATGTCCCGTGTCCTCAGCTGTCCCCAACACAACTGCTGCAAGGATGAATAGGGAAGCTCTCAGTGCTCCTGAGCTCAGGCCTGGGCTGCTCCTGTATTTTGGGAAGGGTTATTAATGCACAGTTATAGTTAGATGCTCTCTATTTAAACATGTCCCTTCTGCGCTCAGCCACTGGATCTGCACAGCTGACCCAGAGCTGCCGATGTGGACAGCTTGCATTGATTTTTTTTCTAATTTTTTTTTTCCTTTGCCACAGTAGGAGCCTTAGGCTGGATTTCTGCTCCTCTTATTACTCTGGAGTATTTACAGGAAAGAGCAGAAAATAATTTTTTGGCTAATAAATTGAGGTTTTAGATCTCAGGTCACTGAGAAGTAGACTCCAACTGCGTGCTCTGGGCTTCTGAGTGTGAGCAGCTGCACACGCGGGGCTGTAGCTGTTGGTGGATGCCCACAAATGCTTTGGGTTTGCGCTTGGGACCCCCAGAATTTCTCTGCAGACTTCAGGAGCCTCAGATGCTGGGAGGCTGACTTAGAGATGGGGTGCTTCATGGTTTTGTACGAGCTGCCTGTGCTATACGTGGCCCTGTGGGGGAATTATAGGGCTTGGCAGAGCCCGACCTTTCCCTGAAGGAGCAGAGAGGTGGTCAGGACGTAGACTCTGCTTTATTTAATTTCGTTGCCCCGTTGTCATTGCTCGCCGTGGTGAAATCCTACCTCTGAGCCGTGTCCCTGTGCTTTCTCCTTCCAGCCCGAGCGGTTGCAGGGCACCCATTACTCGGTGCAGTCCGACATCTGGAGCATGGGCCTGTCGCTAGTGGAGCTGTCTATCGGAAGGTACCCAATCCCCCCGCCAGACTCCAAGGAACTGGAAGCAATATTTGGCCGTCCTGTGGTGGACGGGGCAGAGGGAGAGCCTCACAGCATCTCGCCGCGGGCCAGGCCCCCAGGACGCCCCGTCAGTGGTAGGGGCTGTCGGATGCATCGGACGCAACACACAGGCGTGGGGGCAGAGCGGGTGGATGCTGGTGGCCTGGCTGGGTTGGAGAAAACCCTTCTGGCTGAGGCGGTGGTGGGGAGGCAAAAAAAAACAAAACGGGGTTTTGAGGAGCTGAGGAGGTGGCTTTTGGGGTGCTGCGGAGCGCCCTGGGGCTGCCCAAAACTAAGCCGAGCGTTACAGAACCACGTGTTGGGGACAGCATGGGGTTGGCAGGGTGACCCCCCTGGGGACACAGACCGATCTGAGGAAATCTGTCATTGCCCGTGTGGCCCCGCAGGCTCTGCCCACGCTGCCGTGAGCTCCCTCTCCAGCTCTTTGGGAGCAGCTTTGCTGGGAGCTCTCACCGCAGCACCAAACGGGCGCGGGTCCTGGTGCAGCGTTTGGAGCAGGCTCTGCCTGAGCCACTTCTTTTGGAAGCAGAAGGCTCTGGAACGGCTGCCAGCCTGCCAAAGCATATGGTCTGGTGCTCTCCAAATGCTCCAAGCTGGGAGATAAATCTGGGCTAGAGGAGTCTAAAAGTCTACATTTCAGAACTTTTTTTTTTCCTGTTATTTTTAACCACGAGTCGGTTCCCAAATCAGCGTCCTCTGCATCTCCCAGCAGCGGGGCTGTGCGAATGAAGCCCCTCGCTGCCTGGGCAGCTTCTCACCGGTGTTTCTCTCGTCTTGCCCACGCAGGCCACGGGATGGACAGCCGGCCTGCCATGGCCATCTTTGAACTGCTGGACTATATAGTTAACGAGGTGGGTGTTGCTTTGCTGCCTCTGCCAGGCTGCCCCGAGGTGGTGTTGTGCTCATGAGCCCTTGTAGCTGCACCAAAATCTCCTTTTTCTGTCCCATCATCTCACAAACCCGTCTCTCCCTTCGGAGTAATGTTCTGCAAGTGGAAGCTCGTGGTACCTGTGAAAGCAGCATCCCTAGAGCAACGAGGGAGGGGAGCTCTGGGGTGCAATGCCCTGTTCCTTGGGCAAGCAGCCATTGCAGACGTGCTCCTCCCTAAATCAGCAGCAGATGAGCGCTTCCTCTGATGCTGAGGCCGCACGCAGACCTTTGTTTTCTTGGATGAAAACATTTGAGGGTGACCCAAAAGCTGACCGGAGCTAAAATCCCAGGCTGCGGTGTCCTACCAGCCTTCCAGGCAGGGTCTGTTCCACCAGCGAGGCAGCGAGTCTGGGGAAAAAGCAGCTGAGAGGAGTTGGCCCCTAATTAGCTTCTCTGGAACGGCTTCGTCTGCAATAGGTGTTGACAGAGCTGGGGTTTGCGAGGTTGGATCCAGAGCTGGGATGCTGCAATTCTGGTCTCTCAGCCCTGGCAGTAATTCGGGATGGGGTCGGTGCCCCCCAGTGCTGGGGCAGCATTTTTTTTGCCAGCCCTGCAGCAGGAGGGAGCAGCTCCCCGGCCCTTGGGGGCAGCTTGGAGAACGATGCCTGCAGAGCTCAGCCTTCAGAGCTCAGCTTTTTATTTTATGGCTCGTTTAAGACTAGGTGACACTGTGGTTTTTGACCCATTAACGCGCGGTGATGCAGAAAACCCTTTTCCTTCTCTCTGCAGCCGCCTCCCAAGCTACCGAATGGAGTTTTCACGCAAGATTTCCAGGAGTTTGTAAATAAATGGTAAGGATTGCTGCTTGGCACCGAGCACAGAGGCCTGTACCTGCTCGTGGGCGGCTCAGCAGGCTGCCTCCACCTGCAACGTTCAGCATAAGGCAGCGTTGTCCGTGTGCTGTCGGTGACCTTTCCCTGCTCTGGCTTGGCTGCAGCGCATCGTGCTGGGAGCTCCTGCCTTGGGAAGGGCTGGAATAAAAGCAGCGTGACGCTTTGGGGTGTCAGTGCACCTCCTAAATGCAGTTGTGAGACCCTCCAGCACTGGGGGTGCTGCTGTGGTCCCATTAAAACAGAAACTGGATGTTACAAAATCGCCCATCCCTGCAAATCGTGTGCAGGGTGCAGTCCGGAAGGGATGGATATTGCATCTCTGCTAGAACCTGGGGTGCTGGGGAGGATTTCTGAGCTGTGTCTGTGCCACCGGTCTCCTGGGGAAGGCAGAGAGGAAGCCAAATGGTTTTTGTTGGAGCTGGGGACCTCTGCAGCCAGCTGAGCACCTTCTTACTCCAAGTATCTCAGGGCTGGCTTTGCTCTCTTGTTCTTCTCATTTCAGCTTAATTAAGAATCCAGCAGAACGGGCAGATTTGAAGATGCTGATGGTAAGTGGGGAAGAGCAATTTTCTTGCTGCAGTGGGTGGCACCAGATCTGCAAGCTGCTGTGCCCCATCCCATCCCATCCCTCGCTGCCTCCCTTGCTCAAAAGGCTGGAAACTCCCCCGGCTGAGCCTGGGAGCCAAATCGAGCCCCGGCGAGGGAGTGACTCACTCGCCTTTGAATCAAAGGCAGCGATGTTATCAGCCCGTGGAGCCTGCTGCCCCTCCCCAGCGGAGCCCAGGATGGGAACCCGATGGCTCCAGCACCGCCCCGTGTCTGCCAAGGTGCCTGGGACCAACCTTTGCCTCCCGAGGGAGGTGGAAGAGCCCACTTTGTCCCCGTGAAGCTCAGCTTTTCGTCCCTCGGCGTGGTGCTGAGCTGCCCCCCCATGTGCCCCTTGCAGGGGCGGTGGCCGTGTCCTTGTGTCCCCTCTGTGTGTCCTCCCTGTCCCCGCTCCGTGCCCTCCTCCGTGCTCTGCCTCCACTCCTCCCTGCCCTGGGGGCACTGGCCTTTGGGGGGGGGGAGCAGGATTTGCTCTCCAGGACCAGGGTGAGCACCTGAAACCGTGGCTCGGAGCCACGTGGCTCTGCCCAGCGTTTTTTTGGCTCCGCAGCACTTTTTTGGTTCACTCCTGGGGTGCGACTTTGCTCCTTTCACTCTCCTGTGCCTCCTCTGCCCGGCTGCCGAGATGCACCGGTCTTAAAAACGCAGCCACGGGGCTGCAAGGAGCAAAAAAAAACGTTGGAACTGCCCCCAAAATCTGCTGCCCTGGCATGAGAGCAGCCCAGGGCACGGACCCCATGGGTCGGGGCTTTGGGAAGGGGCTGGGAACGGGGTCGCGGTGTGGAGCGCGCGGCCGCGTGTCCACGAGGTGTTCTCCTAAACCCTGCGCCCCTTCCCTTGCAGAATCACACCTTCATCAAGCGCTCCGAGGTGGAGGAGGTGGATTTCGCCGGCTGGCTCTGCAAAACGCTGAGGTTGAACCAGCCCAGCACGCCCACCCGCGCTGCCATGTGACGGCCGAGCCGACCGCCTGGTGTCAGTACATCTGCCTCTGTCACCATTTCCTGTCCTTCAGTACATGACAGAACCGCCCTTCTTCCTCCTCCCCGGCCCCTTCTCGCCTCGTGTCCCACCGGCAAAGCCCCGGCCCTATAGAGACGTCCATGGGGTGCCCCCCGCCCCGAGCAAACAAACGCGGCCTTGGGGGCATCCCGGGCTTCTGCTCCGGCTCTGGAGCTCCTGACACTTGGGAAACGTGGTGCTGCTTGTGTTAATTTTTCTCTTTTTTTTTGTTTTTTTTTTTTTTTTTGGAAACATGTTCACTTGGGTTAAAAAAAAAAAATTGAAAATCATCTGTGCACGCTCGCGTGTGTGTGTGTGTGAGGAGGGCGGGGAGGGGGCCGCGGGGCGGGCGCTGCGCCCGCTCCTCAGGCTTCTTGGGTGGGCTGTGGGGGGTGGGAAGGGGAAAAGGGGGCTGCAGATGGGGGCTGCAGGGAAGGGAGAAGCCCCTCGGGGGGGGACACCCAGCCCCAGGGCCATGCCACGAGGCTGTGGTGGTGTTCGGAGAGTGGCGTGGCGCTGGGCTGCCCCTGGGCCTGGTGGGCCTATAAGGGGAGAGGGGGGGAGGCTGGTGCCTGTTTTTTTTTTTGTTTTTTGTTGTGTTTAGCTCTTAAATGGTTGTTTTGAGGCCTGTTCTGGTTGTGTGTGGGGTGTCGGGTCTGAGGGGCGCAGGCCGAGCTCCCAGTTTGTGAGGGGTTGGGGATGGAGTCGCCCCATGAGGCCTATGGGGGCAGCTCCTGGCCTCCTCCTGACACCTTATTACGGCCGTGCCCCAACCATCGCGGCTCGGCCATGGCCGGGGAGCCCGGCCGGGTCTCTCCAGGTGGGCTGCATCCCCCCTACTTCATCCCCCAAGGTTTTGGGGTTTCCCCAGGACCTTGTCAACCCCCCCTCGGAGCAGGGCCGGACTTGTCCCCTTAGGCCTGGCAGCGTCCCGTGGCGCTGTCCCCTCCTGGGTTTGTCCCGCTGTGGGATAATTTGGATTTATGGTCAAATAATTGGGGTTTAGGGGTTGGTTTCTCCTCTCCGGAGCCTGCCAGGTGATCCTGGTGGATGTTTCTCTCGTGGGGCCGAGCTGGTGCTCGCCCTTATGGACGAGGAGTCGAACCGGTGCTGTGTGGGGCAGCCACGGGGGGGTTGGGGTCACCAGAGCCCCCCCCGTGCTCTGTAGGATTTGTGTTCCCTTTTATTTTGTGTCCTGGAGGATGCGGGGGTGCGAGCCATGGGGGTGGCTCAATCCCCAAGCCCCCAGCGAGGAGGACCAGGAGTTGCTTTTGGTCCCTATGCCCCTTTTGGGGCTGTTTTTTTTCCCCTGGGGCAGCCCCAAAAGGAAGCCCGTCACCTCGCTGCCCCCAAATTCCTCTTGCCCCCTTCCCTACCCCTCCATCCCTGTAGGGGCTGAGTGGGGGGAGGACATGGGGTGGGCTGGGCGCTTGCCCCCCTCTTTTTGTCCCTTATTTAAGCACGGGGACAGCTCACAAATCTTTGGGATATTTTCGGGTCGTTTCACTTCGGTTTGGGGTTTTGGACGGGGAAAGCGCATCAAGAACCCGTCAGTGCAATTAACAAAAAAAATCAATATTTTCACCGTGGAAGTAATAAATAAAGGGCACTTTACACTTAACTAATTTTTTTTCCTCCTTTAGTGTTTTTGAAGGGTTTTAACCCCTGCGTTGCCGAGCTCCTGCCGGCAGCAGATTGCGGAGTGATCCCGGCATCAGCCCCGGGGGCTGGGGGTGCTGAGGGAGTGCAAATCCCCCCCCGGGGCTGCTGTGTGCTGGGGGGGGGGGATTTTTTAAAAATTATAATTTTTAAAGAATTATAATTTTTAAAAAAATATAATTTAACAAAAAAACTATTTAGGGTGAGAAGAAGTAGAGGGGGGAGCCCTGGGTTAAATCTGGCTCAGATTTGAGCACCTGTGGAACACCTCGGCTCTGCAAAACTTCATGGGGGGGTCATAATGGGGGGGGGGGGGCAACACCAGTTCCCCTTTTCAGGCCTTTTCCTCACCCGTGGGGTGCAGAAATTTCGGCCCCGCTCTGCCAGGGGGTGGCTTCGCTCCTCCTGTCCCTTTGGGGTCCCCCAGCTTTAGGGTTTGTGTGGACGGGGCTGGACCCAGGGGGAGCCCCCCCAGCCCCCCCCGCAGGGTCCCCGTGTGCGGGGGGGGGGGGGCAAGAGGAAAGGTTTCGGGGCCCTCCCCAGAGGTGGGGATGGTGCCGGGTACCCCCAGCAGGTGATTTTGGGGTACCCCCCACCCTCGGGGGGGGGCTTTTTTTTTGAGGGGGGGGGGGCTGGGGGCTGCCTCTTGGCCTTCGGCTCTGGGCGGGGGCGCTGGGGCCCGCCCTGGGCTGCGGCGGGGGAAAACGAAAGCAGTGGGCAGCCGTCGGCACGTGGTGGGGCCCGCTGTGGGGTGCAGCTGCTGGGGGGGGGGCAGCACCTGGGCCCCCCCTCCTGCAGCCCCCAGGCCCCTTCCCCGTGCATGTATTTGGGGTCTGGGCCCCCTCAGAGCCCGTTCCCAGCCCCATTTCCCTGGCTCTGCCTCAGTTTCCCCATCTGCAAAATGGGGTCAGCGAGGCTGAGTTCCCCTAAAAGCCCCTGCGTGTCCCCCCCCTGCCCCCCCTTGAGTTTTAGTGGGTGGGGGGGTAAGCAGGGGGGTGCAGGGGCCCCGTATGGAGCCCTCGCTGCCCCCCCCCAAGATGCATGTGGTTATTTAAGGGAAAAAATCTTTAATTTGGTTGTTTAAGGGAGAAATTCTTGAATTTGGTTGTTTAAAAAGGAGAAAAAAAAAAAGGGGGGGGGAGAAAAAAGGAAATCGCGGTGGGGCTGAGCTGGGGAGGGAAGGGGGGGCTCCAAGGCCCCCCAGGAGCAGCAGGGGCTGACAGCGGGGGGGCTGCGGTGGGGTTGCCAGCGACTTCTGTTTTTTTTTTTTTTTCTCTTAATCGATTTAAAAAATAGATTAAGAAAAAAAAAATAGCGTATCCTGCAGAATGTATATATTTTTTTTCCTTTAATTGATGATTTTCCTCATAATTTTGCCCGGCCCAGGAGCAGGTGCCCGCGGCCCAGCCCGGCTGCAGGAGCAGGGCCCGGGGCCGTTCACTCTGGAGCCTAATGGTGGGTGCTGGGGGGGGGGGGGCGCTGCTTTTGTCCCCCAATTTGGGGTGTTGGGGGGGGGGTCAGGGGGGCTGGTTCTGCTGTGACGGGGGGATATAGGGAGGGGGGGACATGGGGGGGTGTAGAAAGGGGGGGCAGGAAGGGGATGTTGGGGGGGACACAGGAAGGGGGAACTCGGGGGGGACACTGGGGGGGCGCTGAGGGGACGGAGGAAGGGGGGGACAAAAGGGGATTCTGGGGGGTGATGGGGGGACAGGAGGGGACACTGGGGGGGACACAGGAAGGGGGGATAAGAGGGGACACTGAGGGGGGACATTATGGGGGACACACAGGAAGGGGGGGTACAGGGGGACACTGGGGGGGACACACAGTAAGGGGGGGACAGGAGGGGACACAGGAAGGGGACACGGGGGGGTACAGGAGGGGGAACTCGGGGGGGGACACTGGGGGTGATACAGAGGAAGGGGGGGACAGGAGGGGACACTGAGGGGACACAGGAAGGGGGGGACATGGGGGATGGAGTAAGGGGGGGCAGGAGGGGACACGGGGGGGACACTGGGGGGTTTGGGGGGGGGGGCAGGAGGGGACATGGAGGGGACAGAGGAAAGGGGGGGGGCCAGGAGGGGACATAAGGAAAGGGGGACACGGGGGGGGCACTGAGGGACACGGGGGGGACACGGGGGGACCCCGAGGGGTGCGGGGGGGACACGGGGGGGGGGGGCCCGGAGGTGCCAGGCGCGGGGCCGCGCGTGTGTCTGGGGGGGGGGGGGCACAACCACGGGGCCACCCCCACAGCCCCCCCCCACCCCCATACACCCCCCCCACCCCCCAAACCCCCCCCAAAACCCCCCATAACCCCCCCCCTCCCCTCAGGCCTCCCCCGGCTGTGGCGATTTCTGGGGGGGGGGGGGGGTGGAGGGGGGGGCGGCGCGGGGAGGGGAGGGGAGTGGGGAGGGGGGGGGGGGGCGGGGGGGCGGGGGCGCGGCCCCTTTAAGAGCGGGGCGGCCCCGGCCGGAGCAGGAAGGAGCCGCATACGGGGCCTCGGCGAGAGCAGCTCCCGCGGGGCGGCCACAGCCCCTGCTCCGCCCGCACGGCTCGGCCCGGCCCGGCCCGGCTCGGCTCGGCCCCGTTCGGCCCCTCCCGGCCCCCGCTGCTCCGCTCCGGCACGGTACGGCCCGGGATGGGGGGGTGGGGGGGGGCCGTGAGGGGGGGGTTCGGGGGGTTTTAGGGGGGGTTTAGGGGGGGTTTTGGGGGGTTTAGGGGGGGTGGGGGGGTGTTGGTGCCCCCCCCTCACCGCCCCCTTCGTTTTCTCGCCCCCCCCTCGCGTGCATACGTTGTGCTTAAAGGGGGGGGGGGGGGGGTCGTGGGGGGGGGAAGGGCCCTGAGGGGGGGTTGGAAAGGGGAGTGTGTGTGTGAGGGGGGGTTGCGCGCGGGGAGGGGGCTGCTGGGAGTTGTAGTCCGCGCTGCCCCCAGCCTCCTGCAGGTGCGGAGGGGGAGCGGACTACACTTCCCGGCGTGCCCCGCGCTCCCCCCCCTCGCCCCGGCGCGGGTTGCGAGTGGGCGGTGCGGTGATGGGCAGCGGGCGGGGCCAATCGGGGCGCGCCCTCCGGGCCCGCTGGCCCCGCCCTCCGCCGCCGCCACCACCACCACAGCCCGGCCCGGCCGGGCCCCAATGGCGGGCGGGCCGCGCGCGGGGCGACCCCCGGGACCCCCCCGAAACCCCCCAAAACCCCTCCGGGACCCCCCCAAAACCCCCCCGCGTGTGGAGCGTGATCGAAGCCGGACCCTTGAGGGGGGGTCTCGGGGTGCTGGGCCTCGCCCCGGCGCCCCCCCACCCCCCCTCCCGTGGCCCCCCCCCCCCCCCCCGTCCTCCCCCATTGGCCTCCACAGCGCGGCGCGGCCCGGGGAAGGGGTGGGGTCGTGGCGCCCGGCCAAGGCTCCCTGCGGGCCCCGCGGGGCCGGGGGGGGGGGGGGGCGGGCGCGGGGGGGGGACACGGGGCGGCAGCAGCGAGAGGGGGGGGAGCGGGGGGGGGACGGGACCCGGCGCTGGGTGGGGTCCCCCCGGGGCTGGGCCTAGGCCTGAGAGGCTGGCGGGGGGGGCTGCGGGACCCCCCCCCAGTTGTGTCCCCCCCCTCTCCTCGGTCTCTGTCACTCCCCAGCTCGCTGTGTCGCCCCCCCCCTTGCTCCTCGTCGTCCCCCTCCCGGTTTCGGTCACCCCCCAGCTCCCTGTGCCCCCCCCTTTACCCCATGTGGCCCCCCCTTCGCTCATGTCCCCCCCAGCTCTCCGTGTGACCCCCCCTGCTCCCTGTCACCCCCCAGCTCCCTGTGTCCCCCCCTTTACCCCATGTGTGCTCCCTGCGTCCCCCCCCCAGCGTCACCCCCTTCACCCCATGGACCCCCTGTGCTCTCTGAGTCCCCCCCCATGTGTGTGTGTCCCTTCCTTTCACCCTGTGCCCCCCCCATGCTGCCTGTCACCCCCAGCTCTCCGTTTGTCCCCCCCCTCCGCGATAAGGGCTCTCCCCCCCCCAATTTCCTTGCACCCCAACCTCATCCCCCCGCCCCCCCCCCCCCGACCTGCCTCCCCGGCCCCACGGGGGTTGCATAACACGGTTGAGGGGGGGGGGGGGCGCTGAGCTCAGTTCTCCCCGGCTTTGGTTTCGTGGGGTTTTTCCACTCCCCCCCCCCCACTCCCCACCCTAAACCCCCCCCCTCTCTCCCTTCCGACACCCACCCCGCGGCGGGGAGGGGAGCGGCAGCGGCTGGCGGCGATAAGAGAGCTGCCCACCCGCAGCTGGGGGGGGGCCAACCTCAGCCCCTCGCGGGGGGGGCGTGGGGGGAGCACAGCCGCTCGCCTCACCCCGTAACGTCACCGCCGAGCCCGGGGGGTCACCGGGAAGTGTGTGTGTGGGGGGGGTGGGGGGGGGGCTGCGTGGCAGCAGGGTTTCGGAGCGTCCTTGTCCTCGCTGTCCCCTCTCCGTGTGAGTTTGGGGGGGGGACAAGGAGGGGGGGGGGGGTTCCTGAAGCTCCGGTGCTCGAGGTGCTGCGGGCGGCCCCGGGGGGATGGCGGGGTCCCCGATAGATTGTGGGGTGCCCGTGATTTGGGACCGGAGGGGGATTTGGGGCCAGCTTTGGCTGCCTGGGAGGAGCGGCTGTGGGGTTTGCGTTGTCCCCGGAGCTTCCTGTGTGTCAAACCCGGCTGCGGGGCCGTGCCGTCGGGCTCCCCATCCCCGTGCTCACGCGTTTCGGTGCTGCTCCGAGCGCTCCCGTCCCTGCCCCGCGGTCCCCGTGGCTCGGGGAGGTTTTCTGTTCGTGCCAAGGCTTTGCTGCCCGTTTTGGTTCCGAATCGGCCCCGTTCCCCTCCTCGTCCCGGCTGTCGGCACCACAACTTAGCCCTGAAGTGCTCCGCAGAGCTCCCAGCCTGACAGCGCGGTGATGGAGCTAAAAGCTCATCCCCTAACTCCGATAAACCACCTTTTTTTTACAGTTAGTTATTAATTTATATTTTTAACCTCCCCTTTCTGGGCAAAAACTCCACCTGGGAGGTTCTGGGGGCTGCCCAGGAAGGGGGCCGGGCCCCGCTGGGTGCTGCCCGGTTTGTCTTGAAGCAGGAAAAAAAAAAATAAAGGGTGGTAGGAACCGAGCGGCTCGTTAGCGAGGAGCCGGGTGCTCGTTAGCGAGGAGCCGGCCTCGTTTCGTATGCGGCCTGGCCCCTGTTTAGGCTTGTCCCGGGGAGGCACAGCCCGAGCGGGGATGGCACGGTGGGATTTTTCCACCGAGCCTTAATTACGTTTGTAATTCGGGGGAGGGTTTTGCAAGGCGAGAGCTCTTAATGAAGCCGGTGGTGAATGCGAGCGGCCCTTCGGTGCCTGCCGAGCCGCGGATGCTCGGTGCCTGGGATTTATTTATTGGGGTTTTCTTTAATTTTCTGCCGCTGCGTGCGTGGTGCTGCCAGGGCTGCCGATCCTCAGCCGTGTCGTGGGCTCCATGGGGTGGTTGGAAGGCGCTGGGCACGGCCAGCGTGCGGGGTGCGCTCCTGTTTGGGGACTTTTAAAGCAGAATTGAGAATCGTGGCTCTTTTCCGGCCGTAAAAATCCGGATTTTGGCACAGGACCCCGATCGGTGAGGGGGTCGTGCACGTCTCTGGGCACGGCGACCCTAAGCCCGGTGCTGGGTCTGCGGTGGTGTTGGGGAGCCTGGGCCTGCGAAATTCCTCCTCAGTGCTTCACGCAGAGCCTGAATGTTTGGGAGCTGTGGTCTTATCTCGATGAAAACCCACACTTGAGGGTTTTTTCTCCCCAGTCTCGGGATGCTGGGTGAGGATTCCTCCTCCTCCCACCACGCCTGGTTGAAGCAGCGGGCAGGTGCTCCTCGCCGTGCTCCCAACCAGTCCCGACCTCGGTTGCAATCCCGAACTAAAAACTTCCCCATGAGCAAAACCTGGGGAAAGGGGAGGAAGAAAGGAGGAAGAGGAGCGCCCCTACCCCGTCCCGGGACCCCTTGATGCGGATCCGGCCGGTGGTGCCCCCGCTCAGTGCCCGGACGAGCCCCGGTGGCACCTCAGGGTGGCACCCAGCGGGGTCAGCGGGCACCGGGGTCCCCCACAGGGACCCGACCCGGGGACGTCGGCTTCTCCTGCAGCACCCCCAGGCCGTATCATCTTCCCCCCACCCCCCATGCACGGTTTCAGTTTCCTGGTGTCACCGGCTCCCGTGGCGCAGCTTTCCCAGCACGAACGGGCACGAAATCATCCCAGCTCCCATCCCCGTCCCCCTGCTGCGGGAGGGGAGGGGAAAAAAAACCCTCCCTGTGGGCCGCAGGTGGAAGGAAACGGCCGGGATCGCCGACGGGGTGTGAGAAACTGGAAACGGCCGCGCGCTGCCCCGTGGCTGCAGGTGGGAGCCAAGGCCACGGCGGGGAGAGGAGCGGCCGCTCCCCTGGCACAGCGGCTCCTGGCCACGGAGCAACCCCCTCAAACGCTTTTGCTGCTGCTCGGGAGCAGCCTGGGGACCCCCCTGTCCCCCCCCTGTGTGCAGGGACTCGGGTAGCAGCGCTCCGCTCGGGGCTCTGCTGGGCGTCCTCTTCTCTCATGAGCTTTTGGGGTGGTTTTCCTCGTGCTGCGTGCCCCCCGAAGGAGTCCCTCTCCCTTTTTGGGGTGCTGATACCCCAAATCCTTCGTGTGCTGCACTCCCAATTCCTGCGCCACCCGTTGCTGTCACCCTGAAGCTGCCCTCGCTGCCACCCAGCGCGACGTTTCCTTCCCAGGCCGTGCACCTACCCCTTTCCCACCAGGAACCAGTAAGCAGATGTGACTGGGAACCAGCGGGCAGATCTCTCGGTGTTTGTTTTGCCTCCCCGACACGCAGCCGGGCGGGCGGCGACCGCGGGCTTGCAGCCTCCTGCCTCGACAGGCAGCACCCTCCCTGCGCGCCCTCCTCGTGTGCCGAGGGAAGGGGAAGGCTGCGCGGTGCAGGGCACGTTTTTAATCCCCTGCCCTTTTCTGCTGGTGCTCGATGGAGCTCGGGAAATGGGCCGAAAGGGGAGGCTTTTGGCAAGGGGGGACCCCAAAGGGCAGCAGGCGAGGGGCTGGAAGCGGGGCAGGATTCGGCCCCTCTCTGCCCCACGAGGAGAGGTGACAAAACCCAACCCCTTGCTTTCACCTGGTGTCCCTCATCTCATCATGCTCGGCCGGGGGCTGTTTTGTTTCCCCGTGGTTGATTTTTCTGCTGCTTACATTTGTCGGAGGGGCTGCACCTCGCCTCTCCGAAATCCTGGCAGTTTCTTTCCGCGCAGGACCCGGCGCCTGCAGGTTTATGGGGCTCAGCAACCTTCCTCTTCTGCCCGTGCTGAGCTGCCGGGCGAAGGCTGCTCCTTCTGGCAGGATTGAAACAAATTTGTGCTCGTGTTTTTTTATTTTTATTTTTTTTCCCCCTTCTGAGGCTTTCAGGAGGATGAGAGGGGCTGAGCCCGGGGGGTGTTGGTGTTGGCAGCTCCCCGCGGCGCTGGAGGCTTCCAGCACCAAACCAACCCAAATTCTGGAGGCTTGATGATGGGCTCGGGCCTCCCCTCTGCTGCCACCCGGGCTTGAATCGAGGCACATTCCTGCCGGATTAAATACGGGCTCTGATGACAAAGGAGCAAATTGGCAAGGAGGTCTGGGTGGAGCAGCCA